TTAGATAGACTCAAAATTTAAGGATGAATTTTATTAAGGGGGAGAATGTAATAACCTTAAAAAAAGGACTCGTATAAATAGGAGCGATGAATCGCTCCTATTTTCTAAAATTTTCCTTCTCTTTCTCTCTCTCTCTCACATGTTTTCTCTCCCAAAATCCCTCCCTATTTTCACCTCAATTCCTAAGCTAATTCACGTTAAATTAGCTCAAGGAAAACATAAATTAGTTGGCTTAAGTGGATTATAGTTTGCTTGGAGCTTTGGAAGCTTAGAAAGCGAGGAAGAAATTAGGATTTAAGGATTTAAGGAGCTTAGTGTAAAGGTAAGAATTTTGATCCATTAATCTTTAAGTTGTGAAGTTTATGTGTAGTTAATAATGATATTGAATTGAGATTGCTTTGGGTTAATGTTTGCTTGAGGAATTACTTAGATTAAGGTTAGGGTTCTTAAAACCCATTTAGGGAAAATTTTGATTAAGAGATCTTAGGTGTTTAATTGATGTTTAATTATCTTGGACATATGAATTAAGGAGTTAATTTGAATTAAAATTGAATGAATTTGAGAAATTAAGAGGTTAAAGATGATGAATAGTGACAAATTCGAAAATTAGAAAAAATGAGTAATTAAGTTATAAAAGTGTAATTAAAGATGAATGGAGTGATTATTTGATAATTTAGAATAGAATTGGTCATTTAATGGAATTAAGGGTTAATTGTTGTTTAAGAATGGATTGAAGATTGATAAAGGAATATGATTAAGTGATTGTTTAGAATCAATTAAGGGATCATAAAATTTAGTTAGATTATCGGATTGAGTCTTTCCAATCAATTTCATTCTTATTTGATAATCTTGTATTTTAATTCTAGAATAATATATTTTTTGGATTATCCCTTATTATGTGATATTGATGGATGATCCATTATTTTGTGGTGATAAATTCTACGGACCGGGTGACCCTATCCTAACTGTTTTGATTCCGTTCGGTTCTTCAAACTTATTGTGAGTGGATATTATGTAGTGTATTATGTTTTACATTTCTTGATAATGTTCATTGATGCATCATTGTTTAATAATGATTTAGAAGCAATTCTATTAGAACATAGATGGGGACGAACAACATAAACTTTGAAATTTTTTCATATAAAAAAAAATTAGTATGAGTTGAAATGAGATTTGAATGTGTAAATGGATTGATATGTTTTTTCGAATTTAAACATGAGTATGTTCACTATTTTAAGTATATGTGTATTTTATAAAAATGCATGCATGATGTTTGAAATACCGATTTGAAAATGTATAAATACGTTTGGTTTTCGAAAATATTTTTGAGACCTTAGGTAACCTAGCTACTGGGGGTAGCCTTTGAGCTCAATAATATGAGGTTCTATCTAGCAAGAGAGGTATAATGCTAAACTGTATATTGACCAACATGCGAAAACCTAGTCACGGGGGGTGACCTTTGGATGTTCACATCCAATGATACGTTATTACCCCACGGGTGTATAAAACTATTATATATATATATATATATATATATATATATATATATATATCCGTGTGTGTGTGTGTGTGTGTGAGTGTGTGTGAGAGAGAGAGAGAGAGAGAGAGCAAATGTTTGACAATTTGATTCAAAATGGTTTTGAATCATTTGATTTGTGGTATGATTTGTGTTTTCAATATGCATATGTTTTTAAGGAATAAGCATTGCATTTTGACATGGATATGAGAACATCTTCTTTAGTTCGTTTTCCTTTCTTAGTATATTATATAATATCTACTCAATGAGCTATGGTTTGCTCACCCCTCATTATTTCGGTCTTGTAGGATATTGAGGAATTAGTCATTATTTCCTCTTAGCTATTTGATTTGAAGTCGGCACCTTGATCGCGTTGCTTCTTTCCTTGTAATCTTTTTAGAACCTATATTTATCTTAAATTATAATCTTAGATGCTCCGTAATTATAGTCTGTGAGTAGTGTATTAAGATTTGATTATGAATATTGATCTTAGTTATTGAAATGAGAATAGTATGAAATTATGAATTGTATTAAGTTTAAATAATTGATTGCTAAGTTATGATAATACAAATCGAGATGATATTTTATTGGAATGATGATTTGAGTAATATTGCACCAAGGACTATAGTAGAAATTTGATCATGAATTGAGGTTTAGATTAGTATCCGAGGCTTGTTTAGGTCAAGATAGGCCTCACGGTCCTCTCGATCCTCACGTAGATCATGGCCCACTCTCGGGGTTGTGACATGGATTATGTACATAAGCTTGTTTTTTGATATAAGAATATTAGGAATAAAAACTTTGATTTAACTTGTGTAGTCAATTAATAATTCCATTCATCGGTTAGAACTTTGATTAAAATGGCTAAACATGACTATATAAGGTTATTGTTTTTGTTTATTTGTTTATGTAATTGATTATGTATCTAAGCTCATTTTCTAATATAAGAATAGTGGGGATAAGAAACTTTAATACAACTTTTGCATCCAATTAATAATTCCATTTTTCGAGTTGAAACTTATATTAAAATGACTAAACTTGACTATATAAGGCTATAATTATTGTTTGCTAATTTATGTCGTCGAGTTATATAACTCAACTTATTTTCTAATATAAAAATGGTGGGGATAAGAAACTTCGATATAACTTACGCATTCAATTAATAATTTCATTCATCCGTTAGAACTTAGATTAAAATGGCTTCTTGATACATATAAATGATTTATTTTAAAATTTAAATTATAGAGTAATTAAAATACATATTTAATACGGTCATCTTAGTCATCACAAAAAATATTGGAGTGAGAATTGCATCATTCATAATAATAATAATAATTATTATTATTGTTAAATGAGCTTTTGTGAATCAGGTTTTGTGCATTAGTAGATATTAAGTTTCATCCTCCGATATTAAGTTTCCTCCTCCCATTATCCTAAAAACGCATCTTTTATATTGATTTGGTGTATTATAACAAAGTATATTTATCCAATCAAATAAGAGTAATTAGTCGTTGGGCTTGCCCGCTGTGCCGGTCTCGAACTTCTGTGTTGAAATCTATAGTAAACTCTAATGAATAATCTAACAGTGATACTCCCCTATCCATTCAAAGGGAATGAAGCTTACACTATATATATACTCCCCTGTCCATTCAAATGGAATGAAGCTTAAACTATATATATACTCCCCTGTCCATTCAAAGGGATGAAGCTTACACTATATATATACTCCCCTATCCATTCAAAGGGATGAAGCTTACACTATATACATACATACATATATAAGTTGAAAATCGTGGATATCAAAGCTCTTTGCTTCATAAAATACACTCATCATCTCATATGTTTTTTTTTTCATCATCTCATATGTCAATATCTCCAAGTGCTTTGCAATATCAAAGCTAATACTCAATGCCTAAAATATATGAACATTAAAAGTGTATTAACAGAATAAAAAATCATGCAATCTAGTCTAACAAATTGCTTTAAACGTTGTTTTTTCATTTTTTTTTCTATACATAAAAAATCTTCATAATCGGAATTATTAAAAGATGCTAACAAATAAAGACAATGATAAAATTCTGGATAAAATTGTCCTGATTTTTTCTAATATTGGTAAAATTTATACTTTTTTTTTCTTTTGCCAAATGAAAGTTTTTTTTTCCCCAAAAAATGTTATTGTAAAGAATTTCACACCACATGTCATACGAGAGAAACTTATTAGTGAGAACGTGACATATGATGTGAGAGCTTATAATAAAAGACTATATGCATGTCACCACAGGAAGAAAGATCCTTCGTTTTCATTATAAAGTAAAGATAGACAGATGGGTTGACAACGTAGGTAAGTGAGTAAATTATAAATTAGTACTCCTAGTTTTTAAAAAAAATTATTTAATCTTTTTAACAAGTATTCATCATAATTAATTTAATATTTTTTAATTTTATAAAATGTCTATTTTCTTATCAATCTCTTCATATTTTTACTCATTTTTTAATTTCTTTTCTATTTCTTTTTTAATTTTTTTTTAATTTCTTAAAATAAAAAAAATAAATTAAATTAAAAATAAAAAAAATTAAATAATTAATTTTTAAAACTTGAGGGATTAATCAATTCGTTTCTCAAAGAAAACGGGACTAATTTATAATTTACTCATAGATTACTGAATAGACGGTTTGACTTATGGTTATTGATTAAGACAGTTTTTTCTCTTTGAAAATGGAGTAAATTATAAATTAGTTTTGAGAATGAATTAATTGGTCTTTGCTTGTTTTAAAGCTTAATTATTTAATTTTTATATTTTAATTTTTTTAATAACTTAATCCTTGTACTTATTTTTAATTTATTTTAATTTTTTTATTTTAAGTAATAGGAAAATAAAAATATCAAATATTAAAGATTGATGTGAAAAAAATGACAATTTTCATAATAAAATAATATTAAATTAAATAATATTGATAATACTGGTAAAAAAAATAATTAATGTTTAAAATAGAAAGATTAATTTTTTTTCTTAAAACTTGAAAAGACTAATTTATAATTTGTACGATAGTAGAATAATATGTTACAAAAATATCAACTTTCGTTGTTCCCACGTCACATGGTGATGTGGATAGGTGAGGGTATTTTGAGATTTGCCAAAAGATATGATATCGACCTCACTAGCCATAAAACACTTGTTAAATACCCTTCACTGTCTTGACCTTTGTGCTTGATATTGATGTTTAGCTCTGTCCTTGGCCTGCAAATTGACTTTTGTTTTGATGGGTTGTGTTGATAATGCATTCTAACTGCTTCGCTCGAAATAAATAGACAAGAAAGTGTTTTTTTTTTTTAATGGTAATTTTGAGTTCATGATGAAGTTGTAGGAAATAATTATTGCATTGTAATGGAGTTTAGATTTGTTGAGAGGAAGATGAGTGAAAAACATGTTGATGTCTAGTGGATGTTTACTGTATTAAAAGCTTGAAGGCAAAGTTTTGAGACATGGATCTCCTCTTTCCATATTTCCTTCACCTTGCTGTCCTCTGCATATCCCTTTCTCTCATCTTTTTGGTCTACAAGAAGAAGTCCTCCAACATCAAGTTTCCTCCAGGAAGAACAGGCTGGCCCATCATCGGGGAAGCCTGGGAATTTGTAGTTGCAGGCAAACGAGGAACTCCTGAAAAGTTCATCAACGAACGAATGAAAAAGTACTCTGCAGAGGTGTTTCAAACATCCCTTTTTGGGGATAATATGGCTGTGTTCTGTGGTGCTTCAGGGAACAAGTTTCTGTTCTCAAGCGAAAACAAGTATGTCACTACCTGGTTGCCACGCACAACAAAGAAAATTATATGCTTTCCTGAGCATGTTGATAACTCTTCCAAAGAAGACACTGCTTTATTACGCAGATTTCTGCCTGAATTCCTCAAGCCAGAAGCTTTGCGACATTACATTCCTATTATGGATTCCGTGGCCAAGGAGAACTTGAAGGCAGATTGGTGTCCACACAAACAAGTCAAAGTGTTTCCATTGTCCAAAAAGTACACATTTGCACTAGCTTGTAGATTGTTTATGAGAATCAGCGATCCCAAGCATGTAACCAAACTAGCAAATCAGTTTACTCTGGTTACTGATGGGTTAGTTTCAGTTCCTATCAATTTTCCTGGTACAACTTACAACAGGGCAATCAGTGGAGGCAAAATGATTCGTGAAGAACTTTTAGCAATTATGAAGCAGAGGGAAGCGGAGTTGATATCAAAGAAAGAAGATGATCTGAAAGTTAAGGATTTATTGACTCGCATGCTAATTACATCAGATGACAATGGGAAAAATATGAATCACAAGGAGATTGCTAATCAGATCATTGGTATACTTGTTGCCAGCCATGATACAACCAGTAGTTCAATCACGATGGTCATGTACTATCTTGCCGAACATCCGCGTATCTATCAGAAGGTCTTGAAAGGTATGTCTCTTTAATTGGTCAAGGCTTTTTCTGTCACTAGATTTGCTTTTCATTCCTCTCCATAATATGTAGTTGAATATTTTGATTATGACAGTAATTGCTTTGCGATAACTGGTTTTGGAGTTGTTCCGGTTATCTTCATGGTGGCAAGGGCTTGAAACTTTTAAAGTTATGCAAGTGTGATCTGTTGCCTACAATGATGTTGAATAAATGATTTTTTTTTTAAAAAAAAAAAGGGTTGATTTTTCTGTTCCTGCCGGTGTCCTGCGTCCTGGAGCCTGATGTTTCTTGGTTACTGGTTGTAGTTCTTGGTTACTGGTTGTAGCTTTCACTACTGGCAATCTTGTGCTGACCAAGTAACTTTCTTATTGTTCTTTTATAGATAATTTTCTGCTATCATTCAAACTTAAACTTAGATAGTTTCAAGCTTGAGTTCTTTTCCTGCCACATTAAAATAAAAATGTTATCAGTTTGAAAGTAGTTAATAATATTTGTTATTGGAAACTACAATTCTGCAAAGCCTCGATATAAACTGTCTCAACACGTGAAGGAAAATCATTATAACTGCTTGAAAGTATAACTGAAGGCAATTCAATGGTATTTGCTTCACAGAACAAACAGAGATTGCAATGTCGAAAGCCCCAGGAGAGTTGTTGAATTGGAACGATATCCAAAAGATGAAGTATTCTTGGTGTGTGGTTTGCGAGGCAATGAGGTTATCTTCGCCTGCCCTAGGAGCTTTTAGAGAGGCTATAACTGATTTCTCTTACGCTGGTTTCACCATTCCCAGAGGATGGAAGGTAAGTATTGGTTAATGCAAAGTGCTAGATGATTAATTCTTGATGAAATGATTTCTTATTTTTATTAGAGATGAGTATCCCTTTTCCAATAATCAACGTTTACGAGTATGCTATCCCAATTGTATAGCAACTTCATTTCTGATCGTTGAAGCTGGATTTTTTTTTTTTTTTTTTTTAATCTGTCTACATGCAGGTGCATTGGAGTGTACATTCAACACACAAAAATCCCAAAAATTTTCCAGATCCAGAGAAATTCGACCCTTCAAGATTTGAAGGGAAAGGTCCTGCACCATACACTTTCGTACCTTTCGGAGGAGGACCTCGAATGTGTGCGGGGAAAGAATATGCTCGGTTGGAGATTCTTGTTTTCATGCACAATGTGGTGACAAAATTTAAATGGGAGAAAATGATTCCGGAAGAAAAGGTTGTGAACGTTTCATTTCCCAAGCCAGTCAATGACCTTCCAATTCTCCTCCTACCTCATTTCATAGGACCTGAGTAAAAAGAGAACCACTGGTGCTTGAGCAAAATTGGCCATGGTTCCAACTATAGAATATAGAGAAGAATGGATGGACAAGTAGAATAACATATTAAGGTGGTTTGTTTGGTGACAGTGTCATGTCATGTCCTGACAGTTTCACTGCTGTTATTTTTCCTTTTTTTTCATACACTAGTATGTATATAAGTGTGAGTTTGATCTGAAAACAAAGTTATTGTATTATCAATGCTTGAGGTTTTACAGATACATGGATTTCTCATAATTGAATCATGATGCCAGTTATCCCAATTGATTTTTGCCCTCCATATCCTTCGGAGTTGGGAGCTTGATTAAAGCCGGCATTGTTTTTATTACATATTTGATACATTTCGGAGAGCAAATTAAAATTTAGCCTTAGTATTCATAAGGAATTGGTGAAGTGCTTGAAAAATCATCAATACTTACCATGGTTTGAAGCCTTTTTAACTTTTTCTTTAATTTAACAGGAATGTATTATGAATAACTAGCTTTCCGTTCTCTGATGAGAAATTTAGTCATTTGGTACTGAATCATGTTAGTTTTTTTTTATCTTCTTTTTTTTTTGTTTGGGTAATAGCCTAAGGCTTAGAAATCTCCGAGGGATATAGTTTAGAAGTAAAACAATAATAATAATATTAATAAATAAATATAAATTATTTTAGTTTAGTCAAAGATTAATGAGCAATTCTCACTGTCCATTAATAACTAATCATTATTTTTTTTAAGCATAATAATTTTTTAATCACACTAGATTTAAACTGATTTGGTCTAACAAAAAGTTTAATAGTAGACAAAAATATATATATATATATATTTCTTAGTATAATTATTTTTTATTAGTACTAGATTTAAGTTGATTTGATCTAAAAGAAAATTTAATTTAATGGATGACCAAAAACTAATTTGATCTGACGTTAGCTTAATTTAGAAAAATAATGAAATAAATAGATAAATAAAATACTATAGGCCTAAAACCACTAAACACCACCAAAACTGGACCAACTTGTTTCTAGTTGAACCCTTTACTTTGCCTTTATTGACTATAAACGCCTCCATCACCATCTTTGCTCTTTGCCTTTTTCTTTTTCCTAATATGTATTGAAGGGTACCACATTTTAATAATGGGCGATGATATAGGTATAATAATGCAACAGGATGGGTGTGGATGTTTATTAAATTTGTTTAATAAAAAAGAAACAATAATCTATCTTCCCAAGCGCATGTCTATCAAAATTAAACTGCAGAATGCAATTTTGTCCTTTGCAAAGCATATAATAAACATTTTTTATCCACTAATTTTAAAAGAATGGTCTGATTGCTAGGAGATTTGTTCAATTCTTTGATTTTGTGGATTCAAATTTTAAGAACACTATCGAGGTGAATTTGTTACCGATAAATCAAATTATTGCAAATGATGCTTCTTTTACGATCTGTTATAAAAAAAACTTAGGTCCTATTGATGTACAAATTGAGTTTAAGATAATTTTACTATCTAATAACAAAACATTTTTAACTATTCTGCTCACGCGCGATATTTCCAATACTAAAAGCTGGAAAACAACACCAAATCCTCTTTTAGCTAACTTTGCACAATAATGGTAGCCTAATTGGTTAAAAAGTACTTGTTACGTTACCCATGCTACGTTGCGGATTTGATAGAACAAACTCATTTTAAAATTTTAAAAAATATAATTATAATTTTTTATTTAATTTTTTTATTTAATTTTTTTTAATAAATTCTTTTGCTTAAAAAAAAAATAAATCATTCTTCTTTATGGATGGAAAAAAATCCTCATCAGAATTCAAAAAACTTTAAAAATATATTTTTCATAATATTACATTCCAAAAAATAAAGTTATAATTAATAGATAAAATTTTATAAAAACTAACAAATGAAAAAAAAATTTATTTAATGCTGATGAGAAGATTAATTTTTGAAATTATCAACGCAACACTACGGTAGATAGAACAAAATCATTTCAAAATTTTTTATTTTTATTTAATTATTACTATTTTTTGTGTTTTTCATAAAATTTTTGCTTAAAAAAACATGATTTATTTTTCTTTATTTAGGGATTCCTAAATAAAAATTTGTAATATATAATTTAAACCTAAAATATTAATTGAGAATATAAAAAAATGCCTTAAAAATATATTGTTTTATAAGAATATATCCAAAAAATAAAGTTACAATTAATGTATAGACTTGCTTAAAAATTAACCAATGAAAAAATAAAATCCTTTTTATTTAATGTTGATGAGAAGATTATTTTTTTAAAAGTACATATATTTGATTTATATATATATATATATTATATAATCATTAGTTTGTAAAAGTAACGAGTTGATTTTTTTAAAATTTTAACACCCAATTAAATAAAAAAAGAACATAAATTGATGGAAAAATCAAAGGAGAAAAAAAGGCATGCGAGTGCATCGGTTAGGGATTAAAATTTTTATTTTAAAATTTCGGGGATTGAAATGAAATAATTTGAAAATTACAACAAAACTAAGGGAAAAAAAAGTAAGAGTGAAAATTACAATTAAAAAAATCAAAACAAAATAATTTGAAAATTACAAAATAAACCTAAGAAAAAAAGAAAAAAATAAGAATGGAAATTTAAAAATTAAAAAAAAACACCTAAGAGTGAATAGTATATTGTGAAGGGTAAAAAAAAGAAGAAAAAAAGGAGTGAATAGTACAAAAAAAGTTTATGATAGTAAACTTTATTTAGTTTTAGTATAGTAAGGATAAAAATCAAGCATAATAAAAATTTAATGACTAAAATAAAAACATATCACAAAATAAAACAAAAAACCATAAATTTTTACAAAAAATCAAGAAAAAAATATTTATTATAAAGATAAAAATAAAATATAATAAAATTTTAATATTTATTATAGGGACAAAATCAAATATAATAAATTTTTAATGACCAAAATAAAAAATATATATATTACAAAACAGGGACGTAAAAAAATTCTCTTAAAGCTTGGCTAAGCAACCCCGAGAAAAAAAAAAAAAAAGAGTAGGCTGGGAAAAACATTGTTCATTAAAGAGTGAAAGGAACGGTGATTGCATAGTGAAAGTGATTTATATTTTAGAGTATTTTAAAGTATTAGTCTCATATATATATATATATTAGAAGGAAAAAAAAAAAGGCTAGGTGTATATGAAGAGAAAAAAATAAGGCCGGGCAAGCCTTGGTCGTTGGGTTCAACCACACCCCACCCAAAAAAAAAAACCAAAAAAAAAAGTGAAAAATACTGTTCATTAAACAATGAAAGTGCCTTTTGTTTTAGAGTATTAGTAATAGTAAATTATTAATCAATAGAAGAAAAGTCTTTAATTTTTTTTATTTGGAACCTCAAATTTTTTTAGTAAGCAATTAAGTTTCTTCGTTTTGTTGACCAAATGTCAAAGCACATTGGACGCATGTAAAAGACATGTGAAGCCATAAAACAATGACACATCACACATGTCATATATTTTGAGCTTTTAACATTTGTCGTAATTTTAATGATTTTACATATTTCTTATAGTGCTCGATATTGGTCAACAATATGGAAAATTTTAATATAAAAAAAAAAGATTAAGGGTCTAAAATAAGAGATTAACGATCTAAAATAAGACATTAAGGACTTTTTTTTTGTTTTCACTAATGATTTAAGATTCTTTATAACCAATTAACTATGATGTTATAACAAATTATACACAAGTTTTTTGAAAGAAGAATTAGAGTGAAGGTCATTTGAATTTGACATATTTATTAATTCATGTTTCTAGTAGGGTCTTAAGATTGCTTGAAATTAAAAATTCACACATAAAAAAAAAAAATTGAGCTTAAAAAGACATATTTGTCTAAAATTGACTATATATTTTTTGTCACTTGGAAAGGGGTGTTCAAATCTTCTTGTTATTTTTTTAACCAAAAATTTACTTTTGTATGGCCTACGAAGATTATTTCACACTTTACATTTAAGACAAGTAAAGTATTATTTGATAATAAGAAATATAATTAATGATAAGAGTGGAAATGAAAGTTTATTCTTATTTTGTACTTGTGTTTGGTTGAAATGAATAAAATAAAAATGAGACTCGAAGAGTATGAATGAAAATAAAAATTAAACATAATTTAATTCTCATGAGAAATGTGGGAATACAAATAAAAAATATAAATGAACTTTTTCTTCAAAATAATAATATATTATTTGTATTTATTATGTATCTACTATTTTTATCTCCACCATCACCCACATCATTGACAAGTGATGATAAAGCAAAAAAATCAAAATTTTATTATTATTATTATTATTATTATTATTATTTTGTTATCACTCCACCATCACTTTTATCATACAACAATTGCAAACCATTGCTATTGTCACAACCAAACTCATTAGCAAGTGATGATAAAAGAAATTTTGAAAAAGATTATTATTATTATTATTTTGTGACAACTGTTATTCCTTTGTCATTATTTTATTATACGATCATCAATTTTTTTTTCACTATTAATTTCTATAAAGGTGGTATTAATTTTTTTAAAATATACTATTACTATACTATTATTACTACCACCACTTCGTCCTCCTTCTCTATCACAACCACCACGATCACCTTTATTATTTTTATTATTATTATAATTGATGAAATTATTTTTTAATTATTATTTTTATTCGTCTTTTAAAACATATGTTAAAATTTTAAATTTTAATTTAATTTTTTATTTATTATTCAAATAGAGAATATAAATGCAAATGTTATTGTGATTCTTTAATTTTTATTCTGAATATATATATATTTTTAATAAATAAACTACATCTAAAAGATATAGAATCATAGAGGTGTACTTAATTTTTGTTGGCAATTTTATTTGATATTACATCTAATATGGTTTTTTCTATTATTAGACAAAAAATATATATGGAGTTGAAATTATGGTTCCAAAGTTTTTTTTTTTTTATTAAGTTCAAATCTTGATGACAATACTTATAAAAATTTATCAAATTACTCTTATTTCACTATATCGATGCGAAAGATGCACTATTTTTTTCTGAGTTTTTTATACAATCACTGTAGAACTGCAGAAAAAAGATTGGATGTAGTCATGAAAACATTATTTCACTATTTATCGGGACGTTGATTTTTTTTTTTTTTTTAAATCATGAATTGAGGATCCCACCTAAGGCCAGGAACAGAAACAAGCACAGGCACCATGTCTAGCCCGGCACTGGAGAAGCCACCAACATAAAAGAAAAAGATTGAGCAAACCAATTCTGACCAACCAGAAGTATCAATGTTGACTATATGGACTTGATCAACCTCTTCTTTTGATCTATATCATCCACCCTTTTCTATGCCATGGCAAATATGCCCACCATGCCGCTAATCATCCTCTTAGTTGTTGCGGCCAAGTATATGGACATGGATCTCCAACTCCTCTTCTCATATCTCCTTCCTCCTGCTGTCCTCTGTATATCTCTTTATCTCCTCTTTTTAGCATATAGAAGAAAATCCTCCAATGCCAAGTTTCCACCGGGAAAAACAGGATGGCCAATCATCGGAGAAACATGGGACTTTGTGAGAGCTGGCAGGAGTGGAAAACCTGAGAAGTTCGTAAATGACAGAATGACCAAATACTCGACGGATGTGTTTCAAACATCCCTTCTTGGGGATAATTTGGCTATGTTCTGTGGAGCCTTAGGCAACAAGTTTTTATTCTCAAGCGAAGACAAGTATGTCACCACCTGGTGGCCTCGTCCCATACAGAGAATATTGTCTTTTCCCGAGGAAATTGTCAACTCTTCCAAAGACGATAGTACCATATTGCGCAGATTTCTTCCTGAAATTCTCAAGCCAGAAGCTCTGAAGCATTACATACCTATTATGGATTCGATGGCGAAAGAGCACTTGGAGGCAGATTGGTCTCCAAACAAACAAGTGAAGGTGTTGCCACTCTCCAAAAAATACACATTTACACTAGCTTGTAGATTGTTTATGAACATCGAGGATCCTGCTCATGTAAGCAGGCTTGAAAATCACTTCGTTCTTGTTACTAACGGCATAGTGTCAGTGCCTATAAATTTTCCCGGTACGACTTACTACCGTGCAGTCAAAGGAGGCAAAATCATTCGGGAGGAGCTTCTAGCAATCATGAAGCAGAGGAAAACGGAGCTAACATTGGAGAACTATAAAGAATGTGCAGAAGGTACTGATCTATTGACCCGGATGCTTCTTGCATCAGATGACAATGGAAAACCTTTAAATGAAAGGGATATTGCTTATAAGGTTTTGGGTTTACTTGTTGCCGGCCATGATACAACCAGTAGTGCAATCACAATGGTCATGTACTATCTTGCCGAGTATCCCCATATCTATCAGAGAGTCTTGGAAGGTAAAAATCCTTAATTAGCTACCTTCATTCTTACACCATATTAATTGTGATACTCTTTGTTTCACGAAGACCTTGTTAATCTTGGGATTAAACCCTATGCAAACATCTTGATCTCTCTTTCCCTAACATCACAAAGTGATTTTTAGACATTTGGTATCTAAAACACATGACAGATTGGTAAAACTTTAAAGAGGAAAAAATTAAAGGATCAGCAATGCCCGTCAATTAGTGCTGTTTTTCAAACTTCAATGGTTTTGATTTTAAACTACATTACTTTGAATATAGTAGTTAGTTATTAACGACTTTCAAAGGCTCCTATAATATTCTGCCAAGACTTCAAATCCATTAAAAAAGTCTAATGTTACATATTTTATTGTCTAAAATTAGCTGCACGTTTTCTCACCGAACGCATATCTATCACTTGTGAACGAAAAGTTTGAATGTGGAAGTTTAATAAGAGGAAATCCAATATGGTTTTTTTATTAACAGAACAGATGGAGATCGCAAGGTCGAAAGCTCCTGGAGAGTTGTTGAATTGGAAGGATGTCCAAAAGATGAAGTATTCTTGGTGTGTGGCTTGTGAGGTATTGAGGGTCTCGCCGCCTGTTTCTGGAACATTTAGAGAGGTTATAGCAGACTTCTCTTTTGCAGGTTTTACCATTCCAGAAGGATGGAAGGTACGTCATACTCATCGACAAGAAATTGTTAGAAGGGTATTTTACATAAAAATAAATATATAGTGAATCAAACTAAATGTAAAAACTTGATGATGATCTAAATGAACTTATTTGCAGGCATATTGGAGTGTATACTCAACACATAAAAATCCCAAGTATTTTCCAGATCCAGAGAAGTTTGATCCTTCAAGATTTGAAGAGAAAGTCCCTGCACCATATACATTTGTTCCTTTTGGTGGAGGACCTTTTATGTGTGCAGGAAAAGAATATGCGAGGCTGGAGATTCTTGTTTTTATGCATAATCTGGTGAACAGATTCAAATGGGAGAAAGTGATTCCAAATGAAAAGGTTATGTACACTTCATTTGCCATGCCAGTTAAAGGCCTCCCAGTTCGCCTGCAGCCTCTCAGGAACTAAATAACCTGCAGTTTGTGAAGTAAATCTGTTGTTGCTGTTAAAATTATATTCAATGAATTTTCATTTCAAAGTCTCACAAGTCATAAAATTAGGACCTGGATTAAAGTCAAATGTCATTCAGCTGCCTGCTAACATGAGAAAGTCTACTTGGCTTGGGACATCTTTCAGCAACCCTAATGCTTTAATTGTTTGGTGACTTTGGTCCCTGGGAGCCAACTGATACACATCAGTCTTTTACTGTTAATTTTTATTTTTTTCTCTCATTTTCTTGTATTATGTATGCATTTCATTTTAACAGAAGTCATTGTTGCAGACAAACTATTTTATGAGTTTTGAGATTTTGGAACATTTCTATCTGAAAGTATCAACTGACAGGATTAGATTGATTACTTACAGTACAGCTACCTTATATGTACAACTTTTGGTTTGAACTATGTACAGAAAAAACTTCAAATAAGAGGCTAATGTAAATAGATATCAGGCATGTATGAACATTTATGGAACTTGGATAGACTATAGAGTGATAACTAACATGCTTGGCGTGCAACCAAACGATGTTAATGATCAGTTCATAGCAAGTTCCAGACACGACAAATTAATCGCTAAAAGGGCTTACATCAACTTATCAAACAAAGATAACAAGTATTGGGGACTAAATGAAAGGTGATTACAAACAACAAGTAGAGAATTGAAGAGCCTTTTGCACATAATGATGTCAGGCAAGACAGAAGCCAGCAAACGAAATTCTTTGGTTGGAGTGTCAGTGAGGGACGCAAGTGCAGAAGGAAAAGGCAAGGCCTCCAAGAATATTTTATAGGCAAAAGAATTACAAAAACCTGGCAACCAGTCGTTGCACGAAGTACATGTAAAGAGATGGTTGGAAACAAAATTTACATATCACAGAAAATATTTACATTTGGAATGAAAATGGATAACCAAATATTTTAACCAGTTACAACTGTGGCAGATCACTAGCAGCAAATGAGGATGCTATGGTCCTTACGGGCATGCAACAATTGCATTAGATTCTCCCACCCCTACTATAAATGTAAGATTTCGCATAATACAAGTAAATAACCAATTGCACGGTACTTAGCACAGCAAGTCCCCAATAAAAGTAATCAAGATGAGCCCGATTCAGATTATTATCGAACCAGCTATAGCGACCATTCCCACAAGTCAATTTCTCAATGGTAGAGATGAGAAAGCTGCTTAGAAAGCTTCCTACGCCAAAAATACTGAGGTAGAGTGAAAGACCAACACTCCTTAAATCACTAGGGACCTGATCATAGAAGAGTTCTTGCAGGCCAACCATGGTAAAAACATCAGAAACTCCAAACAAGATATAAGGAGGAATTAACCACCAAACGCTCATTGGAACCATCACATTTGGCTTGTCAATTAGACCATATTCTTGAGCAGTTTTGAGCCTCTTCATCTCAACTAGAGCAGCAACTGCTATCGAAACAGTAGATAAAAACATCCCAATTCCAGTTCTCTGAAGCACTGTAATTCCAGATGGTTTCCTTGTTAAAGTTCTTGAAACAGGAACAAAGACACGGTCATAGATTGCAATAAAGAGAATTGAGGCAATGGTGCTGAAGGTTTGAAGTGAAGCTGCTGGTATCTCAAAACCTGGTGAAATCGATCTATCCATGGTTGCTGCTTCCTTAACAAAGAAAGTTGAGGACACTGGAAACACGATAGCATATGCCAAGCATGTAGTCCATATTGGAATGAGTCTGAGCACTGCCTTAGTTTCTTCAACTTCACTGAGGGTACACAATGTTCCATCTTCCTTTGAGCCATTTGCAGCAAGCAACGCTTTGTTTAGGAACCTGGCATAAGAGGACTCAATAGCTATCTTAGAAGAAATTGACAGTGTAAACAAAAAGGACGTTCCAATACCACAGGATCGGAAGGGTCCCCATGTGATAAAATATCATAAATCAGAACAAACTCAATCTATATGGCGATACTAAGTAACTATTTATCTTACTTGAATTGCTCATAACTTTGATGATCCAGGGTTCCATGACCTTCTTCTTCTTCAGAAGCTATTGCGGAAGGAGTAATTCGCTGATTCCTGATAGCTACGAAAAAGACCTTACCAGTTCTCAAAAATGCATTTTTCTCTTCCCTTTTCACAGTGTAACGATATCTCTTAGATCCTAGTAAGAAGATGACAAGCGCACAGATCATCATAACACATGGGATACCGAACCCAAGACTCCAACTTAGATTATCTTGGATATAGATTAAGACCAGATGCGATACTAAGATGCCTGAATTCAAGAAAAAATACCACCAATTGAAGAATGAGCTTTTGGCTCTGCATTCCTCAGGGTCTTGTCCATCAAATTGATCCGCTCCAAAAGCCTGAACACAAGGCTTGTGCCCTCCTTGGCCAAGTGCTACTAGATAGAGAGCAAAGAATAATAAAATCACTTGCAGCGTATTAGAAGAACAGGACATTTCATCACTTAGACAGTCAGGGGAACGTAGAGAAGGAAGCATAGTTGATAGAGTCATTAAGCCAAGTCCCTGCAATTAAAATCCAAACATGACTGGAACTTTTTCATGAGTATTCTATATTTTATAGTAACATTAATTTCTGGACAGAAATGTTCTTTTACCAAAATGTAGACAAATGAGGCAACAACAATAGTCCTGAATCTGCCAAGAAAAGAATCAGCAACAAATGCACCTAACAAAGGCAGCAACGAAGCAGTCCCTGACCACACATTCACATTCTCAGCCGCAGTAGCCGTTGACTGACCCAATGGACCAGTTAAATACGTTATTAAGTTGGAAGATATCCCCAAAAATGCAAACCTCTCTGCAACTTCCACACCTTCACTTGTACACCAAACAAACTAATTTAAAACACGAAATTACTGGCTTTGGTTTGATTAAATCAACAAAAAGAAACAACCCTTTGATTTTTGTTACCTATTATGAAAGATGCAGACCTCCATCTGCCAGAGTTGTATCTATAAACTGGGTTGCCCTTATAGTCTACGCAGCCATCAACAGTGTTGCTTAAGAGTGGAGTTTCGGCCTGTTCTGCTGTCTCTGGACTGGAGAGGTTAGAAATGGACATGTCAGCTTATTGGACCAGCTATACGGATCAGTGATTACTAATAATCAGCAAGCAAAATCCGGATTTCAATTATGCTAACATATGGAGGAAAACAGTTGAAAAAAGAAAATATTCCGTCCGAGAATGTTTGGCTTATTTGCAAGTTGGAATTTCTGAACCGTTGGTTCTTTAAAGGAATGAACTATTGTTTAGTCCCTGGATGTTTTATGTAGTTATACCTTACTCTTAATGTTTGATTCGTTAGTCCTTTGATTCTTGTAGACCTTTGTCTTTTTACGACATTGTTTGTTTTTCTCTAAATTTTCACTGTGTTTTCTTATATCTAGGAATTTAATTTGCAAAATGGTATGTTTTTAATTAAGAAAAAATCAACATAGGCTTTAATTGAGCAATGGTTAACAAGAGTCAAAAGATTAGATTATAGGTTTTCAAATATAAAGGACTGAGTTACAATTTTAGTGAAAAATTAGGAACTAAAAAATAGTTTACTCTTTTTAATATTATCTTTTATTGCAAGGAATCTTTTAGCCCATGCTCCTGGTCAGCTGACGCATATATGCATGGGGTGTTCTTTTAATCATTGGTAAAAGAACAACCGAACCCAACTTAAGTAAAAACAAATATGGTTGTCCCTTTAATAATTTTTAGGCTAATACCATCTGTAAATACAAAATGTTCTAATTGCTAGAAACAAATATGATAGTTTCTAAGACGGACGAAAGGGAAGAAATTAAGAGCATATTAAACCTTGCCATTCTAATTGCTAGAATGTTTTCTTTCTCCTGATCAAGTTGAAACTATCAACTGACAGGATTACATTGCTTGCTTGAATCCTCAATACAGCTACCTTATTCGAACAGCTGTTGGTTTGAACTATATACAGAAAGAACTTCACATAAGAGGTAACTAGCATGCTTGAACAGTTCATAGCAAGTTCCAGAATTAATCGCTAAAAGGGCTTACATCAACTTACCCCAAGGTGGAGTTTGATAAACTAGAGGATGAATTAACAATTAAATCATCTGGAGAATCCTCATCAGAAAGACCCGATAACGGCGGGGGTATAGAGAAGCTTATGAAACAAAAACAGCATGGAATGTAGAGATCGCCTGTACCATAACGGCAATCAAAGTTTCTGCCTGAAGAGAACTTGAACATCAAACAAGGACAAAACTATGCACCCATAAAAGAAGGATCAATGAGGAAAACAGTTACACTGGTTAGCAAAAGGTGTTAATTTGTAAACCTTCAAGAAAAGAATTGAATTAAATGAAATTCTTTGGTTGGAGTGTCACTGAGGAACGCAAGTGCGGAAGGAAAAGGCAAGGCCTCCATATTGCTTTCTTAAAATCTTTATGTGAGTCCAAACTACAGCAACAATCAGCTAAGAGGAGACTAGCATAGGAATTTGGAAAAAAATCTTCTTCATTGAACAATTTTGCCTTCTAAATTAATGGAATCCAATTCCAAAAGTGGCACAAAGCTATCCTAGCAACGGCCAAAAAATATCTCTTGCTGCTTGTGAGTCATTGTTTTTAAGGATTTGGATTGAATTTTTTTTTTCCCTTCTTGCTACTGATATTTTCAGGTTTGATTTTTGGGACACTGAGTTTGTCAACTTCTAGAGGTAACTGAGTGGATTTCTTTAATCAAAAGGCTCCATAACTAGTAGAGCTAAAATCCGAACTCAAAAGCTCAGACTGTTGGCAAGCTGAGAACTGCATTTATAGACAAATGAATTAGAAAAACCTGACAACCAGTCCTTGCACGAAGTACATATAAAGTGATGGTTGGAAACAAAATTTACATATCACAGAAAATATTTACATCTGGAATGAAAATGGATAACCAAATATTTTAACCAGTTACAACTGTGGCAGATCACTAGCAGCAAATGAGGATGCTATGTTCCTTACATATGCTATTGCATTAGATTCTCCCACCCCTACTATAAATGTAAGATTTTGCATAATACATGTACATAACCAATTGCACTGCACTTAGCGCAGCAAGTATCCAATAAAAATAATCAAGATGTGCCCGATTCAAATTATTGTCAAACCAGCTATAACGGCCATTTCCACCAGTCAATCTCTCAATGGCAGAGATGAGAAAGCTGCTTAGAAATTTTCCTGCACCTAAGATACTGAGGTAGAGTGAAAGACCAACACTCCTTAAATCACTAGGGACCTGATCATAGAAGAGCTCCTGCAGACCAACCATGGTAAAAGCATCAGCAACTCCGAACAAGACATATGAAGGAACTAACCACCAAACACTCATTGGAACTGTCACATTTGGTTCATTGACTAGACCATATTCTTGAGCAATCTCGAGCCTTTTCATCTCAACTAGAGCAGCAACTGCTATCGAAACAGCAGATAAAAACATTCCAGTTCCAATTCTTTGAAGCATTGTAATGCCAGATGGTTTCCTTGTTAAAGCTCTTGCAACAGGAACAAAGAGACGGTCATAGATTGCAATAAAGAGGATCCTGGAAATGCTGCAGAAGCTTGCAAGTGAAGCCGATGGTAACTCAAAACTTGGTGAAATTGATCTATCCATGGTTGATGCTTGCTTAACAAAGAAAGTTGAGGACTGTGCAAACACAACAGCATATCCCAAGCATGTAATCCATACTGGAATAAGCCTGAGCACTGTCTTAGCTTCTTCAACCTCACTAAGGGTACACACCTTCTGATCTTCTTTGGAGTCATAGGTTGAAAGCAGCGCATTGTTTAGGAACCTGACATCAATTTTTATTTTAGAGAAGATTGATATAGTAAAGCGAAAGGTCTTTTTCAGTAAATTTTCACTGATTCAAGACCACAGGGAGCAGAAGCAACTTCCCACTTGATAAAATATCATAGAGCATCACAACTCAATCTATATTTTATGTAAAATCACTCCCTTCTGTACTGTAATCAGTGTTCTGCTCACCACTGGTTGATGCAAATGAACAAGCACACAGACATTACAGCATCTTAGACCCATATCAATTAAGTGTCTCCTGACAAAATCTAAAATGGATATCTCCAAACAATTGCCAAGGATAACAAACAGCTGTTTATTGAAGCTATTAGCACATAAATCAGACACGTTTCAGAGCTATGCTAATTGTTTTGTGGACAGTGTTCTTAAAAGTGCAAGGCCAGTTAAGCAGCAGGGGTATTAGAGGATAGGCTCAATTATTTCCACCTACTATAATGAGCTTTGGATTGTCAAAATGATTCACGATGGTGTTACTAGTTCTCCATATGAATGGTTAAACAGAATCACAGAGCTCAGATTGCTATCACAAGTATTTTCAATCAATAACTTACTAAAATATATCATGCTAAGATATCATGGATTTTGCATTTAATCCTAACTGGTTAAAGCTCACAAGTATTTTCAACATACTTTCCATCTAATGAAAATCTTCATGTCACCTAGATGCAATCTGTGTCAATTTTTAACTTGAAACACACATGATAATTTCTCTTACTTGAACTGCTCATAGCTTTGGTGAGGTATAGTTCTGTGACCTTCTTCCTCAGAAGCTATCACAGAGGGAGTTATTCGCCAATTCCTGAAAGCTGCAACAAAGACCTGACCAATTCTAAAAAATGCAGTGTTCTCTTCCGTTTTAACACTATACCGATATGTCCTAGATCCCAGTAAGAAGATGATCAGTGCACAAATCATCAGAATGCATGGGATACCAAATCCTAGACTCCAACTAAGATTGTCTTGAATGTAGGTTAAGATCAGTTGCGATGCTAGGACGCCTGAACACATAAAAAAGTACCACCAATTGAAGAATGAGCCTTTGGCTTTGCACTCCTCGGTGTCTTGTCTATCAAATTGATCTGCTCCAAAAGCCTGGATACAAGGCTTGCGCCCACCGTGGCCAAGTGCTACTAGATAGAGAGCAATGAATAATAAAATCACTTTCAGTGTATTAGAAGAACATGACATTCTGTCACTTCGACAGGCAGAGGAAGGAAGCATAGCTGATAGAGTCATCAAACCAAGCCCCTACAATTGAATTCAAAACACGACAGAAACTTCAAACCCAAAGCTGAACAGCACAAGTTTATTAATTTGCTGGAATCGTGAACAAAGTTTTTATCCTCAAGAACAGAAAAGAAAGGATAAGTATGAACTAGCTAGTGTCTTAAAGCCTAATAGTCATGCTTCTCTGACGACTGACTGTATAATAGGGTAGGTTTAATATCCTTAATTTATGTCCTGCCTATCCAAATAGAGATCAAGAAAACAAATGTATTAGACAGATGCTCTCAACCTGTGATCTCAGGTTTGGTTTCAATTAGATCAAAATGGTGTGAAGTAGACTATGAAAGAAACCGCAACCAGTATGAAGTATCGTAGGAAATTTCTGAACTTTGGCCACAACTATCTCAATTCCTGCCGAATAGTTCGGTTGATTCTTGCAAAGATTGAGCTTTGAGGCCTGTTTTCAATTTTGAAGTACCTTAGTACTAAAAAATAAACCCAATATGCTTAAAAGGGCCAGGTGATCAAGAAATTTTAAGGAAGTAGTGTTGCTTCGAGTTTTGTCAATGAATGACTTTCTTTCGGCCGTTAATTCTTTACTCTCTCTATATATATAATCCATAATTTACTAAAATAACGTTACTAGGAGCCAATGTAGCAAGCAACTTTCATCTCAATTCTCGACAACTAGAATACTAAGTTGAGTTACTGAAATAATTTATGAAAATAATTCAACCGATACCATCAAATCATAGACCAACACTTTCCTTTTTAAAAACTCAATAACTATAAGAAACATTTCTAATTAGATACATCAGCTAAGTTGGGATTCATGGTATTCTCAAAAAAAAAAAAAAAAAGGGGAAATTTTCTTTTTCATGAGACTGCTGGTATCCTAGCCAAGCTTTCGTAGACCGAAACTAAGTGATCTTAGGCATGCCATCCATATGTGTATTCACGAGAAATCTTTTTCTCACACCCTTTCTAAAACGGAACCACCTATGCCAACATCTCAATGGTACTTACGACCAATAATTAACCTTTAGAAATCATACTCTCTAACAAATAAAATTAATTTTTGAGCGATGTTTTTTTTTACCAAAATGTAGATAAATGAGGCAACAAGGACAGTCCTGTATCTGCCAAGAAAAGAATCAGCAACAAATGCGCCTAACAAGGGCAGCAACGACCCTGTCCCCGACCATATGTTCACATTCTCCGCTGCAGTAACCGTTGACTGGCCCAAGGGACCAGTTAAATAAGTTATTAAGTTGGAAGAGATCCCATAATAAGCAAACCTCTCTGCGACTTCCACACCTTCACTTGTACACCATACAAACGAATTAAAACACAAAATTATTGGCTTTAGGTTGATTAAATCAATAAAAAGAAACAACCCTTTAATTTTTTTACCTATTATGAAAGATGCAGACCTCCATCTGCCAGAGTTGTATCTATAAACTGGGTTGCCCTTATAGTCTACGCAGCCATCAACAGTGTTGCTTAAGAGTGGAGTTTCGACCTGTTCTGCTGTCTCTGGACTGGAGAGGTTAGAAATGGACATGTCAGCTTACTGGATCAGCTACACGGATCAGTGATTACTTACTAATGATCAGCAAGCAAAATCCGGATTTCAATTTCAATTACGCCAACTTGTGTAGGAAAACAGTTAAAAAAGGAAAATATTCCGTCCGAGAATGTTTGGCTTATTTGCTAGTTGGAATTTCTGAACCGTTCGTTTTTTTTTTACAAGAATGAATTATCGTTTACTCCCTTGGTTTTGTATGTAGTTATAGCTTATTCTGTCATGTTTGAAAATCTATATGTTAGTCCTTTTATTCTAGTTGACCTCTGTCTTTTTAAGACATTGATTGTGTTTTTCTCTAAATTTTAACTGTGTTTGCTTATAACTAAGAATTTAAGTTCCCAAATGGTATGTTTGGAATTAAGAAAAAATCAACATAGGTTTTAATTGAGCAATGGTTAACAAAAGTTGAAAGATCAGATTAGAAGTTTTCAAATAGAAAGGACTGAGTTACAACTGTATTTAAAAATTAGGAACTAAAAGATAATTTACTCTTTTTAATATTATCTTTTATCGCAAGGAATCTTTTAGCCCATGCGCAAGGCCAGCTAACGCATTTACGAATGGGGTGTGCTTTTAATTATTGGTGAAAGAACAACCGAACCCAACTTCAGTTTTGATTTTCCCATTCTGGCCCCTCAAAACTCTTTTGTAAAAGCAATTGATCGCCTCAATTAGGTTTCTAAAACAAATGATAAAACATAATTTATTGTGCATATATATATATTCTCTCTAACTTCAAGATTTTATGAATAATATAGTAGCTTTTTATAATACGATGAAAGAAAAATGAGCCATAAAAAAAAAGATAAATAAAATCTTTAAATAGTACCCAAAAAATTAGCTGAGCATATGGTATATATTAATATCATTCTCACCTTCTTAGTTAATAACTAATATATTATTCATAAAAAAATCATAAAAAACTAGAATATATAGTTTTTTTTTCAGAATCAAATAATTATCATTTTTATGACATATATTTCCATAGTGATTACATTTTTTTTATGAATAAACTATTATATTTTTTAATAAATATTATATTATAAACTAGTTAGCTGAATATATATATATACACCCCCATTCTCGGTTAATAACTACTGTATTATTCATAACAAAAAATTCATAAAAAAAAACTATAATAGTTTATTTTTCGGAATCAAATAGTTATCACTTTTATAATATTATATTATATTTTCATAGTGATTACCTTTTTTTTTATGAATAAACCACTATTTTTTTTTTGGAATATTATATTATAAACTAATAATTACATGCCAATTTTTCAGCCCTTCTTTTAAGTTAAGGTCATGACCATTTCCATTTTCCTCAGGCCACGTCTGGGACAGAAGTTTTGGAAAAAAATAGTGGGCAAAAGAATATTTATCGGCTCGTTTTGATAGCTGGAAAGCCTGGAATGTCACCATCATTGAAGTTTTTCATAGTGTTATACAGCTTTCATCTTTTCGGTCCATGCAGCGAATCACTGGGATCTAATTTTAGGTATCTTTTACAAATTCCTTTGTAAAGGCAATTGGTTTTGCCATGCCTTTTCGAAACAGTTTCCCTTTTGGAAAGGATTTGTTTTCTGCTCTTTTGCAAATCAGTTTAGAATCAAATAGGGATGATCGTGAACTATGCTCGGTTTTCATACAATGGAACCATGTCTTGTCTGATTACTATTAGCAGAATCAATATATGTAAATAGTGGTGCGTTTTGGTTTTCTCTTAGGAAAACCAACCTAGAAGTAATCACAATAAGGAAGCATTCCATTTATACAGTGCCTCCCCTGTTATAAATGTAAGATTTTGCAAAATATACATATAAAACCAATTGTACTGCACTCATCCCAGCTAGTAGCCAATAGAAGTAATCAAGATGAGCCCGATTCAGATTATTAGCAAACCAGCTATATCGGCCATCCCCACCAGTTGCTTTCTCAATGAAAGAGATAAGAAAACTGCTTAGAAAGCTTCCAATACCAAAGATGCTAAGGTAGAGTGAAAGACCAACACTCCTCAAGTCACTGGGGACCTGATCATAGAAAAATTCTTGCAGGCCAACCATGGTGAACGCTTCAGCAACTCCAAACAAGACATATTGAGGAATTAACCACCAAACGCTCATTGGAATCGTTACATTTGGCAGATCAACTAGTCCATGTTCTTCGGCAGTTTTAAGCCTCTTCATCTCAACGAGAGCAGCAACAGTCATAGCCACAACAGATACAAAAATGCCAGTTCCAATTCTTTGAAGCATTGTAATGCCAGAGGGTTTTCTAGTTAAAGCTCTTGCTATAGAAACAAAGACACGGTCATAGATTGGAATGAAGAGTACAATGGAGAGGCTAATAAGGGATTGAAGTGATGCCGCTGGCAAGTCGAAACCAGGTGAAATCGATCTATCCATAGTAACTCCTTGCTTGGTAAAGAAAGTTGGGATTTGTGCAAACGCTATAGCAAATACCAAGCACGTAGTCCATATTGGAACAAGCCTAAGTACTGCCTTTGCTTCTTCAACATCACCGAGGCTGCATACCTTCCCATCTTCCTTTGAGCCATTTGGAGCAAGCAGGGCTTTGTTGAGGAACCTGTTAGATTAGAAGATCCAAATTGGTATCTCAGAGGAGCTTTTTGGAGTGAAGTAATTCAGACTGTTTTATGTAAATATCATCTGTCCATGTTCCTATGCTAGGCAAACCAGATGCGATACCATCAGTAAAACATCCTAGAGTAGCACAAGTCATTTTATGTGGTGAAATACAGGAGTTCCCTCACTACAACGTTCAACTTTTCTGTTATGTAAACTATGTGGCTAGGAATCAACATGCATTTGCAGTCGGTAAAGCATCTTGAAGCCCTATTGAACAGTGGTTGTTACCAACCCTGCAAACCATAATTCAAATGCTTGAAGATCATGCTCTTATAATGCCTTATAATTCACATCTTCAAACAACTGGCAAGAACGGCAAACAACTTTTGTTGAATGCCAATAGAAACATATATTGGATGCATTTCAGATGCTATGTAAATCATATAACAGACGGGATATTTTCATTATGCATAAAAAAATAATAATAATACAACCTAATACATTATGGATAATTATATCCTAAGGACCTCTCCACTAACTTGTTTAGCTTTTGCGTTGGATGCTTTAACATGGTGGTAAATCTTGTTCGTAGACTTAATGCCCCAGCCCCTTCAATTATGCTGGTTGTGGATCCATTTTTAATTATGACATTTATTACTATTGGGTATGCATGCAAGGAAGTACGTTCAAGACAGAAGTTAGGCATTTATTTGGTATGAAATACAATAAAATTCATTGTAATTGCTTCATGGATCGGAAGGACCTGTCCACCTACTAACTTGTACTTTTGGGCTGGGTGATTTGAAAAAATAAAATCATAAAGAAGCTAGTAGCTTTCTACAGGAATGCTTAAATAAATCACAGATCTTAAAGCCATTTCCAGATAAGATATGAAGTATTTTGTGAATCCAAAATGGTTAATGTCGCATAAAAGGCTTTTAAAGTACTTAAAGTCTCCTGACCATTTTGATGTATTTGTATTTACTTTTAAATTGTTAAAAAAGGCAGAAAAATGTCTCTTACTTGTACTGCTTAGAACTTTGGTGAGGTAGGGTTCCACGAGACTCTTCCTCAAATGCTATTGCAGAAGGAGTGGTTCTCCAATTCCTAATCGAAGACACAAAAACCCAACCAATCCTCAGAAATGCACTTTTCTCTTCCCCTTTTACACTATATCGATATGTCTTAGTGCCAAGTAAGAAGATGATAAGTGCAATAACCATCACACAACATGGGATTCCAAATCCAAGACCCCAGTTAAGATTGTCTTGGATGTAGTTTAATACCAGCAATGTTACTGCTGTTCCGGAACACATACAAAAATACCACCAATTGAAGAATGAGCTTTTTGCTTTGGATTCCTGAGGGTCCAGTCCATCAAATTGATCCGCTCCAAAAGCCTGAACACAGGGTTTGTGCCCGCTTTGGCCAATCGCTACTAAATAGAGAGCAAAGAAGAACAAAATCAGTTGAAACAGAGCGGGAGAACATGGCAAATCGGTGCCTTGGCAGTCAGTTGCGGCGTGGGAAGGAAGTACAGCTGATAGAGTCAACAAGCCAAGTCCCTGTAACAATGGAGAGACTTTAAACCAACAGCTGATAATTGCATGTATATTATTTCCAAAACTGAGCATAAACATTTCTAAAAGACATATCAAGAAGAAACAAAACCATGGTTAAGTAAAGATTATCTGGTGTCTTAAGCACATTAGCCAGTTTAGGATGTCATTAAAGCTGTCTGAATGTCTACGGTCTTGATTCAGACAACATTAGAGAGAGAGAGAGAGGGATGTTTTACCAAAATGTAGATAAGGGAAGCAATAATGATAGTTCTGTATCTGCCAAGAAAAGAATCAGCAACAAATGCACCTAACAACGGCAGCAACGACGCCATGCCCGCCCACACGTTCACGTTCTCCGCCGCAGTAGCCGTTGACTGACCCAACGGACCGGTCAAATACGTGATTAAGTTGGAAGATATTCCATAATACGCAAATCTTTCTGCAACCTCCACACCTTCACTTCCATAAAAGCAAATAAACAAATAAATTGGGTAAATAAATAAATAAAATGAGGAATTTAAATTTGTTCAATAATTACCTATGATGAAAGATGCGGATCTCCATCCACCAGAATTGGATCTATAAACTGGTCGGCCTTTGAAGTCAACAGAGCCATCAACGATGTCGTATAAGAGCGGAGTTTGGACGTCCGGAGTTTGGTCAGAGGCGGGCATGTCCTTCCTTGTTGTTTGTTTACCATAGCAGCCACTAGTCAGCCACCGCAATTTGGTTTTGTTGTGGCTGTCTTTCTTTCTTGGGTAAACTTCGGTTTTGCCACTATAGATTCAGTAATGTTCCATTCCTATCCTTATAATTTAAAAGATTACAATGTTACTCTTATAATTTCTACAAAAGTTCCAAATGGCATTCCCAACAATTAAATAGCTTATGTTTTGAATTTTGTCTTTTAGTTTTTTTAGTTTCTTAGGTGCTTTGTAAGATATTGACATTTAACGAGATTTGATCGGAGAAAATGAGAGAAAAATAATAAAATAAAAATATGATAAACAAGAGTTTTTTAAAAAAAAAAAATCTTAAACTATGGGGTGGAAGTGGAACGTTGATGAATCAATATGAATGAAAGTATAGCTTACCCCCTTTTCTTTTTTCTTTTTTTTTTAATACAAAGAATTCACGGCCACTAAAACATTATCTTATTAATATCAAGACAAAAAAAACAAAAAAATAATTGTCTTCTACTTCAGCTTGCAATGGCAAACAAGAATCAAAAGTGTCATAAACACACACATGTAAAAGATGCTTTAGCTCTTTTTTTAAAAACAAATAAAAAATAAAAAGCACGTATATATTGTACAAGTTTCAGAACTAGAAATTCAATTGGCGCAATTTTATTAAATAAATTTGAGGGAACATTAAATTTGTACAATTAATTGGCATATTCAATAAAATTGTTAAAAAAAAAATTCAAAGTAATTATAAAGAGTGATTATACAAATCAAAGAGTTTGTAACCCAATGATAATAATCTCTTACAACAAGAGGTTACAAGTTTAAATCTTCGTAGATTAATTTTGCTAAGAGTATTGAATGTGCGAGTAAAAAAAAATGATTATACAATGTCTATAGAATTATAGATGAGCACTATTTTGATGTTATGTCTACACTCGTTATAACGGAGTAAAATATAATTTAGTCTCTCTTGTTTAGATAAATGAATTATTTAGTCTCTTAGTTTCAAAAACTAATCATATTGCCCTCTATGTTGAAATTCTTGACGAAATCATCTAATTTATATTTAATACCAAAAATACCTTTTGAATATATAAATCTATTTCGAAAATGAAACAAATACAATGTTTCGTCTCCCTCGTTATCTATGTCACATACATGAAACAAACACACTCTTTCATCTCTCGAAAATTCTTACATTTAATCTCTATACATGTTTATGTCCTTGTCCTTAGTTTTGTTGCTATAACGCTCTCTCTTAGTCTCTCTCAATCCTGTTGTTTTTCTCTCTAAGTTGTTCTTATTCGAGTTTATACAATAACAAACCTCTCTTTCAATCGCATAATCGAATTCCAGTTGAGTTGTTAAGGTTAGTTTGAACTTTCTTTTGTTAGATATGGATTGTTAAATATGGGTTGTTGGGTAGGGTCTATCCAAAAGTGAAATAACAATTGTAAAAAATTGCACAATCTTCAAGGTCTTTGAAACTCGTGTTGTGAGAAGGAATGATGAACATGAATTGGAGGAAAGAGAGTACCAATATGTAGTGAATATAAGGAATAAGAATTATAGTTATAAATTATTGGAAAAGAGTGGACTGCTATGTAAGCATGCGGTTGCAATTAATGGCTACAAAAGGGAAAGTTTAGAGGATTATTGTGATGAGTCATTTATAGTTACTACATTTCTTAAGATATAAAAAGATCATTTCATCCGAGTGCCTCAAAAGGATTTGGCACCAACTAAACTAGCTAAGATTATGCTACCCCCAACCTTTTTGAGAAACTTTGATAGACCAAAGAAGAATAGGAGAAAGGAGCAAGGAGAGGCAACATTAAGGAAGAGTAAAGAAATTAAATCATGTATAGTGAGGCGCAAAATTTGTAAACAACTTGGCCATAACAATAAAACCTCTCCAAAGAGAGAAAGAGGTTCTACAAGTAGAATGGTAAGACACTTGCATTTATTTCTTTCATGTTTGTTTGATACAACATGAATTACCGATTTATAAATTTTGTGTTGGTTTGTAGGAAATATAAACCGTAGCACTTCAACACAACATTAACACAAAAGCGTAATGAAACACTTTAAAAATTATGAATTATTTAATAAATAGATTGATAATGTTGTCTTTCTGTTGTGATTTAAGAAACACATAACGGACATGATGGTGATGGGACCAACATTTTGGAAGTCTGGTTCTATGGATATAGGATCAACATTTTGTATTTTATCGTATTTTGGATAAATAGTAATCAACTTGCTTTGTTGTCCGTTATCTTATGATTAAAGTATTCAAAGGTTTGTGTTTGATAATTAGGATACTTTTGGTATTGTTGGTCAAATCAACATATTAAGTACGTCTACTTATTTTAATTCTCAATTCTAATTATGTATAAATATTAGAAACTTACTATTAACTTATGTTAAATTTTATGATGCGATTTAATTTAGAAAAATCTAAGGATAACATTTAGAAACTACTTGATACTTAAGTACTTAGTATTTAAATATAGAAAATCTTAATATCTAAGGATAAGTATATTAATCATGTAGAAAAATCTAGAAAATAGTTAATACTTAAGTACTTAATATTTAAACGTAGAAAATCTTACTTAATGTAGAAAAACATTTAGACACTATTTAATACTTAAGTACTTAACATCTAAGTATAAGTTTGTTTTACTTAATATAAGTGTCAAATTTACTTCCATGAACGTTCTTAGGTCGACAAAGAGGGCTATAAAAAAGGAAGAGTAGCTAGGCCTTCCACGTAGAAACAATAATAAAGAAAACAAGAGCGAAAACTAGAATTGCTAAGGAATACCAACTCGGCGAGAGAGTGAGAAAGATAGTTTGGCTAAAAAAGAGAGAATGGGAGAGTTTGGCTAAATGGAAGGAAAAGAGAGGGAATTTGGTTGAAAGGAAAACAAGGGAGAAAGGAGGAACCTTTAAGAGCTTTATGACTAGCCAAAACCTAAGATAAGTGTAATCCACCACACCATAAGATATGAATGTTATGTGTTTGAGTGATGATTGAACATAGGTATCGTAGGCTTTGATGTATTTAAGTGCTTACTTAATGTTTAAATAGATGTTATAAGGCTTGGTGATCATGTGATTATTGATGATAAGTGTAGTTAAGGTGTTGTGTTTATGAGTTCACTTAATGAATAGGTTCATGTGAAGTTACATGATAATTTGGGTTAGATTATTACTTTATGTTACTTGGTTGTACTCATGCATTTGATTGAATACTTATATGTTATGTACATGTGTTAATTGTTTGGTTGAACATTTGTGCTATTAATCAATGACTTCGGGTTCATGATTATGTTTGAGGTCATTTGATTATATATTCATGTGTTTAATTGAGGTTTGCATTTAGATTGCATTCGCATCCCGAAAATATTTTTATCATGATTTCATGCATAAAAAGAGAAAGTCAAGTGCATGTTTTCAAAAAGACAGGTGGCTAGACATGTTCAAAGATAGCTCCCAAAAGAAATGATCCTATCCTCTTTGTGGGAAAAAAATTGGATATGTATATTGCTTTTCATGCTTTTTCATAAAATATGGGTTTCATTGAGGGCCAAGTATATAGACATTCGGCAAGGTGCATCCGAATCATAGAAAACATATTTTAATGTCATCAAAAATGTATTTCTTGCGTTCATATGTGATTACACTTATTGAGCATTAGCTCATAGTTTGTCTTATGGTATATGGGTAAGTTAAATGATGCATGAAGACATGTGTGGCGCGAAAGGTGTTATCGGGAGTGAGTTGAGTTTGCCAAAGTGTATATTATAAGTATAGGTTTAGAATTTAAAGGCTAAACAATGGAAAATTCATATAACATTTGAATATGTTAATGTATAAATGTGTTTTAATGGTTAATGGAATGGTTTTAGTCATCAAGACAATTGTTGGTTTATAACATACTAAACTAAAAGTAGCCTTAAATGTTAAACCTAAATAATTTCATTGTACATTGCATGAGTTAAAGGACATGGGCTTAGTCTTGCATCCTATGGGTGTGAGGTCATCGAAAACACCTTCAAGTCGGGGTTGTTACGGAACATATATATTAGATTATATTACTCTTATTTTTTAAAATATATATTTTTTTATTTTTTGTTTCTTATGAAAATTCTCATGAAATTAATTTTATATTTTTGTATAATTATATTTGTTAATAAGTAATATTTATTTTTCTCTATGTATGAATTTTTGAATAAAAATTTAAATTATTATTATTATTTATTATTTTATATTTTGATATAATTCATATGATGTATTCTTATGATTTTTAAATGAGTGTTAAAAAGCTAAAAATATATTTTAGATAATTTGTCTCAAAACTTTTTAAAAAATCAATTAAAAAATAGAATTCATGTGTTTTATTCACTATTTTATTATATAATTAAAATTTATCAAAATTAATTTCGTAGTTTTTTTTTCAATCTATTAACTTTAATATATTCTTTATAATTTATTTTTTGAAAATATTTTTTTATTTATGTTGCACACTCGAACTTATTGAATATGGTCAATGATGTGTGTGTGCGTGTGTGTTTCTATATGTATAATTAGTTTATTAGAACTCAACTATGCATTTAAACGCATAACACCAATAATTTGTTATTAATTTTTTTTAATATCATAAAATAAATTTCTTTGAAATAAAATAATTGAAATAATATTTTAGGAGAACCATCCAATTATTAAAATATAATTTTTTACACTCATATTATTGATTATTTTATGAATAAATATATATAAATCAAATGTATATATTTTTTAAACAATAATCTTCTCATCGAAATTAAATAATACTAAAAAACATATTTATCTGTTAATTTTTATATTGATTATTGCTTTATTTTTTTGATGCAATCTTATATATATATATATATATATATATATATATATATAATTTTGGATTAAATATTATATTTATTATTGGAAGTTCTTATTAAAAATAAATACTTCAAAATAATAAATTATATTTTTTAACTACAAAATTTATGAAAAACATAAGAATGAATAAATTATAAAATTAAATGATTTTTTTATTTTTAATTCAATATTTTTTAGTAGATTGTAACAACGTACATGTTATGAAATTAAAATTATTTTTTCAAATCATTTCATAGATTGTTTACTTTCCTATTTTTCAGCCATAGGTGCTACCTCAATTATTGTTACTGTTATATACTACCCTCGGACTTTGGATATTTTGGTTTCTTTTTATGATGATCGATCTTCAAAGTTTTGAATTTGGTGTACCTTTCTTCTTTCTTTCTTTCTTTCTCATTTTTTTTTGTAAACTTCAGTTTTGCTCTTATAAATAGTATCTCTGTTTCAATCTTATCTTTATAATTTAAAATTTTTTCAATCTTAATTCTAACCGTTAAGTAGCATGTTTTTGGAATTTGGTATTTGTGAGGAAAAAACCAAAAAAAAAAAAAAAAAGTGAAAAATATGATTTTTGTTAGCTATCAGTAGTAAAGGGTAAAATTGAAACGTTCTAAGAATTATAGGAGTAAGATTGGAAAATTTTTGTTAGTTATCCTTCTATGCTTTTAACCTCGTTTATGTTGTGGCTCCATTTTTCTTCATATTTCCAAATACTTTTTTTTTTTTATGCTTATTTAAACAATAATCTGGAGGCCACCACCTTTTCCAAGTTCAATCTGGGTGGTAAATGGATATGATTGAAAACAGTGACAATCTGATTATTTTTTTCAAGACATTAAAATAAAAAAAGATTTTCTTCTTCCTGTAACTGAAAACACACGTACATATATTGTACAAGTTTCAGAAATAGTTAAATTACAATTCCCATAAAATTATAAATTTACTAAAGAAATTCACATCAGAAAAACAGGTAGATGTAGCTAGGGAATGAGTCATTAGGCTCCAATCCCCACCACAGATCAGATGTACTTAAGAATGACCTTAAGAAATCACTTCACTCATGTTGTGCCTCCCCTGTTATAAATATAAGATTTTTCAAAATACAAGAAAGCAACCAACTGTACAACGCTTAGGACAGACAGTAGCCAATAAAAGTAATCAAGGTGAGCCCGGTTCAGGTCATTGGCAAACCAGCTATCATGACCATCCCCACCAGTTGCTTTATTAATGATGGAGATAAGAAAGCTGCTTAGAAAGTTTCCTACACCAATGTTACTAAGAAAAAGAGCAAGACCCACGCTCCTCAATTCTGTTGGGACCTGATCGTAGAAAAATTCTTGCATACCAATCATGGTAAACACATCAGAAGCACCAACCAAGATATTTTGAGGAATTAACCACCAAACACTCATAGGAATTGTCACATTTGGTGTATCCAATAGCCCATATTCTTGGGCAGTCTTGAGCCTCTTTGTTTCAACTAGGGCAGCCACCGCCATGGCCAGAACAGATAAAAGCATGCCAGTTCCCATTCTTTGAAGCATTGTAATGCCAGAAGGTTCCCCGGTTAAATCCCTGGCTACAGGTACAAATACACGATCATAGATTGCGACTAAAACAGCAACCGTGGTGGGAATAAATAATTGAACTGAAGCTGCAGGAAATTCGAGGTCTGCTGAAATTGATCGATCCATAGTTCTGGCTTGCTTGGTAAAGAAAGTTGTCGGCTGTGCAAACACAATAGCATATATCAAGCATGTAGTCCATATTGGAACAAGCCTAAGCACTGCCTTAGCTTCTTCTACTTCTCTAAGGCTACAAACCTTGCTGTCTTCCTTTAAGTCACTAGGGTTAAACAGGGCTTTGTTCAGAAACCTGCGACATTGGAAAATTGCAATGTTAGAGATTAATATTTTAACTACATTTTTATTGTTTCAACACCACAAAATGCGGGGTCCGTAGGCATTTACGGGTAGTGGGGTATCCATTTGAGACATCGCAACTAATCCACCATGGCTTGGAGCTAGATACAACAGCCTCTGATCGACATTTGCGTCAGTATTAGCTAGTCTCAGGCACTGATTAAATATCATGCAGCAGACAACTCTATGAAATGATAATGGTTTTGACAGAGTATTTCACTGGATGCTTGACAGAATCCAGTAAGAACAAGAAAACTTTGACGTTGAGAATTAAAAATGGTTAGTACTTCGAAAAAGATTTTCATTTGTCAAAATACTTCTTTCTGGTTGAAGCATTATTAATATTCACTTTTATGAAAATTCTCCAAAAGACATGACATAAGTTCTCTCTTACTTGAGTTGCCCAGAACTTTGGTGAGGTAGGGCTCTATGAGCTTCTTCTTCAAAGGCTATTGCAGAAGGAGTGATGCGCCAATTCCTAATGGTTGCAACAAAGACCCGACCAATTCTCAGAAACGCATGTTTCTCTTCCCTTCTGATACTATACCGGTATGTCTTAGTTCCAAGTAAGAAAATTACAAGTGCACCTGCCAAAATAATACATGGGATTCCAAATCCCAGACCCCAATTAATGTTGTCTTGGATGTAGTTTAAGGCCAGCAGGATTACCACCACACCAGCATTTATACAAAAATTCCACCAATTGAAGAATGAACTTTTGGCTTTGCGCTCCTCAGGGTCTTGTCCATCAAACTGATTAGCTCCAAAAGCCTGAACACAAGGCCTGAATCCACCTTGTCCAAGTGCTACTAGATAAAGAGCAAAGAAGAACAAATAGAGAACCTGATCAGGTGGGCATGACCTAATAGTATCGGAACTTCGGCAGTCAGAAGAGCGGACAGAAGGAAGCACGGCTGATAGAGCCAGCAAGCCGAGTCCCTGTGAATTTAGATTAGATACTCTTATGTTCAGGCTAACATGACCGGTTACGTTAGCTTAATCCTAACCTCTAATTTTGTTTCCCTATGCAATGTTAATTTTGTTAATTTTTTTAAAAATCAAATATCAATTGCTCCAATTTATTATCAAACAATCTAAACCATCATTTCAATTTCAGTGATGATTAAGCCAATATGTGAAGTCATTTAATCCTTAGCATGAAAGGAATCTTACATTGCTACCCCATTTCACCAAATCATATAACTTTGCTTACGAAAATTTTAAGGAATAAGTGTTTTTTTTTTTTTTTTGGAGGACAACGGGTACAACAGACGGTAGTTCTGTTCCCTTAATTTTTAATGTTTAAATCTCAAGTACAACTCTGAGCAACTCTATTAACGAATTTAGCAAGTATTAGGCAATTCCTAGCAACTAGCAAGCAGTAACACAGCCATGAGCCTATGAAAAATGAAGGGAAAGATGGTATAAATAGTTACCAAGACGTAGACAAGCGTTGAAACAACAATGGTTCTGTATCTACCAAGGAAAGAATCAGCAATAAATGCACCTAACAAAGGCAGCAACCATGATGTTCCTGACCAAACGTTCATGTTCTCTGCAGCAGTAACTGTTGACTGTCCTAACGGCCCTGTCAAATACGTTATCAAGTTCCCTGCTATCCCATAATATGCAGACCTCTCTGCAACTTCCACACCTGCATGCACACACTAATTGGGTTAGACCTCATCAATCTAACTATAAAAACTGGAGTGATGTTTCGCTGTGTTACCTGTAATAAAAAGTGCAGATTTCCATCCACCAGAATTGAATCTATAAACCGGACGGCCTTTGTAGTCAACGGAATCACCAACGGGCTTGAATAACAATGGGGTTTCGATGGCCATTTCTGCTAGCCCTTAGCCAAACTCTCGATAAAGTAAACAAACAGACTCACTGTTTAGTATCCCTCTCAGTCCCATTATAGATGAGCTGAGCTCACCATTTGAGTGCTGTTGTTGATATTTTAATATTTTATTATACTGTGCATTTTATATTGGATAGTATCTTTTTGCGGTTGCATCAAATCTTTCTTTTTGGTTTAATATTCTTTGAAGGACATTAATTTATCCCGAAATTATTGGAATGGTGTAAAATAAGACATACACTGTTAATTTGAGTTATTTAAACTCTAAACTTATAATTTTTGGACAAGTTTTATTTATTTATTTATGTCTGATGGTTAGATAAGTTTTATTCTTTTGTGTTATCATGATGGTCAAAATATTGATTGTTAATTAAAATATTTTAAAATAAGATTGTTTTAAGTATTTTAATTTTTTTAGAATTAAAATTAATTTTAAAAATAAAATATTTAATAATAATTAGTTTTAATTCAGGTGAGATAATTTTATAGTTTATGGATCTAATTTTTATTGTTGGATAACTTATGATATGTAATGGATTCATCTAGTAAAAATAAATAAATAAATTATTAATTTTTTTAGAATTAAAATTAATTTTGAAAAAATAATTTTATTTTAAAAGAAGTTTAGGTGATTTTCTTATTTATAGATCTGATAATTAATCACATGTAACAGATATATCCAGTAAAAAAAATTATTGATTTTCTAAAATTAATTTTAAATCTAAAAAAAATGTTTAAAATGACTTTCTTGTAAGAATTTTCGGACCTAGATCTTAAATATGAATCTAGTGTTTCTTTATTGTGTTTCCAGATCTAGATTTAGCATTTGCACCTGTACGTTTCTTTATTAACAGTGTTGCTGTTTTGAATAAAGGTGCAAACAACATCGAGAAGGCTGACATTACTCGATTTTTTTTTTTTATTATTATTATTATCATGAAGCCTAGTATTCGTTTCATTTCCCTATTGATTTACAAGATTTATACTTATCTATCAGAAATTTTATATTACTCAAGATTTATGCTTATATATATATATGCCTTCATGAATAGCCTGGATCTGGGAGATCTACAAATTTTATTTACCGCCATTTAAATCTTAAAGACTATTTTTCATTTTAAACTAGGAAGCTGTAAATTCAATTTTTAACAATATTTATTTTATAAATGTATTTTTATTAGAGAGATATACAAAAAAAAAAAAAAAAAAAAAAACCCCAAATCCATTTTGATGAGAATATTTTCAATAATCTTGATTTTTTAAAAATCTTTCGGGCACTTTTCTCTCTTCTTTGTTTCAATGATTCTCATGAGAGTTAGTTACTTTTATAGTAAAATAAAATTTCTAATATGTGAGAATTAGTGGTCTATGTGTACTTTGATCGGTATTAATGAGATTATTATCATTATTTTAAAAAAAGGACAAAAATAGTATATCATTCACTAGTTTTTGTCCTAAAAAAATTTCTTATTTAAAAATTAATTATTTAGTTCTTTAATCAGTATTAACCATACTTAATTTAATATTATTTTATTTTAAAAAAAATATTTTTTCATCGATCTTTTCATAATATTTATTTATTTTTTATTTAAAAATAAATTAAAATAATAAAATAAAAACATAAAAAAATAAATTATTATTATTATTATTATTATTTTAGCAGCAGGGATTAATTAATTCTTTCTTAAAAGTAAAATGACTAATTTACAATTTACTCCTTTTGTCCACCACAACTTTTTTAACGCATTAAAAAATTCTCACGGCCTCCCTCAAAACTAACAAAATGTGGCAAGTGAATTTAGTGGCTGAAGTTGACAAGTCTAGAATTGTTTATTTTGTTTTTTATTAATGTCACAATAATACTTACGATCCCTTCCGTCCAAAAATTATAATCTCATTTGATTTTTTTACACAAATTAAAATAGTATAATTAATTTCATGTCATGTTATATGATTTCAAATTACTTGACTCTATCATCCTTCATCTAAATATAAGTAAGAGAGTGAAATTAGATAGAAATGATTAAAGTAAGTTATAATTATGAATATAATAGTAAAACCAATCAATTAAAATGTTGTTTGACATCACTATGGTTTTCTGTTTTTTATTTTTTTTCTAAAAAAAAACATGTTTGGTTGCACTATTATAATTTTTTTAGGTTAATAATTTTAAAAATTAAAACAAGCTTTTCAAAGCAACAAAAAGTGATTTTTAATTTGTAGTTTTAGTTTATATATATATATATATATATATATATATATATATATATATATATATATATCATGTTACCAATATTACGTAACTCTTCTAACCTAATTGAGACAATAAATGCTACCGGCAATATCTTATATTCGAAGTATAATGAATATGAGACACTAAGTCTCGTATCCATACCTCTAATTAAATATTTACTTGAAATACATTGTGCAACAAAAGACTATTGAATTTGAAAACTAAAACCAATTCACTTAATAGAAATAAAACGTAATTATACAAATCATATTAATTATTAGATAACCACTTTAAATTTTATTAACTAGTAAATCATTTCATTCATCAAACCTCTAATTTATAAGTTTAAAGTTTAATTGAACATCATGATTTAAATTTCTTACAATTAAGCTCATTGGAAGCTATTTTCAGTTTAAATTCTATAAACACTTAAACATTTATTATTAGTGTGAAAACCTATTCAAGTTTAATATTATGTATGGCCATTGAAACCATTTTAAATATTGTAAATTAACCATTTCATTAAGTTATTAGGAACCATTTTATCAATCTATTTCATTTAACTTATTTATTTAAACCCGTCAAACTATCAAACTAATTTATAAACATCTCAAAACCATTTATTGATTAGCATTCTTAGAGGTGAGCATTATTCGGTTAAAACGGAAAAACCAAACCGAACCGAATTGAATTAGCAATTTTGGTTCGGTTTTAAAAAATATTTGAAAAAAAAAAACCAAAATCGAAAACAGAAATTATTTTGGTTCAATTCGGTTTTTTTAAAAAAAAATTTGATTTTTACCGAAAATTGAATTACTTTTTTTTTTAACACATACCCAAGCTCTTTTTATATATATATATAAATAAAAGAGACACCTATGGGTTTAACCAAAAGAACAAGACATTTAATGATTTTTTCTACTGAAAATAAAAATATTTTTCATTAATTATTTATTGAAATAATAAAATAATTGATTATATTATATTGACTCACAAACAAATAAAAAAAGACCATGATAAATTAATTCTTTATAAATACACAAGTCTATCTCGTTAGTGAATCCTAAAACCTCATGAAAAAAAATTGTTTCCTTATATTAAAATTGACACAAAAATATGCCCTAAAAAAATTGACTCTAAGCCGCTGTGTTTATAATAGTACTCGTAGTAGTATTAATAACAACTAACAATAATAATTTTTTCACTCTTTTTATGCTTATACCAAACATAAATTAAAAATTAGATTTTTCAGATTATCTATTCAACAATAAAATATACACGGAATAAGGAGATTAAAAAGATTATGAAAAATTAACAAAAAACCAATTGTAGCGTGATTGAAAAAATAATGAGAAGTCCAACCAATTTAGTTTATAATATAAATAGAAACAAATTTAGTATAGAAAAATAGTAATAATCTTACACAATTTTCTTATAAAATCAAATGTGAAATATGCAATTTTTCATTATGTTGTGGCTCAATAAATTGAGAAAGGTGTAGTTATTAATTAGACTATAAGATTCAAATGACGAGATGATATTCATGGTAACAAGTTATAGAGTTAAATTACTATAAAAGTTGTAAGGTGGTTATTAAGTGAATTAACTTATATCTTTGTAAATTGCAATCCAAACAATTGATCCTCTCTAAAAATAAATGAAACAAAAAAATCAATCACTATTGAAAACAATACTCAATTACTATGCAAGTTTGATATTTTTTTAAAAGTAAAATAATTCAATTTTTAAAAGAAAAATGAAAAAAAAATGGTTTTTAGCGAGAAAATCAAAAAATCAAATCGAAAAATTAGTTTTTTAACCAAAAACCAAACATCAATTCGAGTTCAATTTCAGTTTTTATTTTAGTCGATTCGGTTAATCGAAAAAAAAAACACCAAAATCGAACCAAAAAATTGAATGATCACCCCTAAGCATTCTAAGTTTGCAAAATTACTCAAGTCATTAAAGATGGAAAATGTCCAAATCTACTACTTTTAAACTATAATTACAATATACATTCGGCAAGCTCGATTCCTTATAGTATCATCATCAACTTCACATCAAGTCCTCACATGTCATTGATTTACCTACACCACAAGACAGCTAGTAAGCTAACACTCGGTAAGTGTAATCACGTATGCTCGATGCAAAGAAATGTATTTTTCATGACTTTGGAAAATATTTTTTGTGATCAAGTACACCCTACCGAATATGCATATATTCGGCTCTCCATAAAAACCATTACTATGAAAATTATGAAAAGCACTAGACATGTCCCATGTGAAGCTTATGATGCTCACAAAGAGTTGATCACTCTCCTTGCAATTCATAATTGAACATGTCTAGCCATGATCATTTTCTTGAAAACCATACACTTGTCTTTGTCTTTAAATAACATAACACATAATCCATGAACTTCAAGTAACCATGTAGGCCGAATTCACCGACCAATGAAACAATTAAACATTAACCCATGTTACATTAAAAAATAACATACTAATGACATCAAGTAACATATCAATGACATAATCAATCAATAAACACATAGAAAACATCACTAAGTCATTCCAAATAGCGTTGGCCGAATCTCAACAAGTAACTTTTTAAGTGAATACATGAATATTAAACTTAATTTCATTAATCATGGACATAACCAAACCACCCAAATATTACACCACAATCAATCACCAAAGAGTCAATAATCAATCATCCAAGAACCAAATATTTCTTGAATATAGATCTTAGCCAAATGTTCAATAACATAAATACAAGCATCAATTAGCCATATAACACTAAATATTAACATAATAATCAATTACACAAATATATTACATGAACAAACATCAAGGAACACCAAATCCTCATCAAGCCAAAACATATTGATAACAATCCAAGTATATAACCATTTAACTACCACGTATACAAATCTCTAAACAATTCCATAACCTAAAACTAACATAATTATCAATACACATATGAAGATTACATCAACTCACACAAAATTGATGTTTGGTCGAATGTTACCAACCATTTCCACAATCATACAATCATTCATTAACTTCATAAATTCAACATATATAACACTTCTAATTCATGTTTTAAGCTAATTTCATCATATAAGCATCAATTAACCTCATGATCAATCATGAATTAAACAAAACATAATCAATGACCAATCATCAAATCAACAAATAACATATCATCATACATAATCAATCATTGATTAAGCACATCAACACCTTAATACAATTCTTATATCTTGTGATGTAGTTGAGTTGATTATACTTATATAGAGCATAGTGAGTGCTAAGAACACTTCAATCGCTCACAAAGATTCCACCTTTTTCTTTATCATTGGTCCACTATCAAGCGTCTTCTTCGTTATCTATATGGCACCATCAATTATGGCCTCACTATTCATAAAAAATCTCCATTGTCTCTTCAAGCATTCTCTAATGCTGATTGGGTTAGCGATAAGGATGATTTCTCCTCCATTAATGCCTTCATTGTATATCTCGGTCATAACACCATCTCTTAGAGTTCAAAGAAACAACACATCATTGCTCGATCTTCAATAGAGGTAGAATATCGATCTATTATAGCCACAACCACCGAATTTATTTGAGTTTGCTCAATCTTCATCGAACTCCATGTACCACTTGCTCGGTCTCTTGTCATCTATTGTGATAATGTTGGTGCTACTCAACTCGGTTCCAATCCCGCATTTTGCTCTCGTATAAAACATTCCAATCTTGCATTTTACTCTCGTATAAAACATGTAGCCATTGATTTTCACTTCCTACATGACTAGGTTCAAACCGGTGCTCTACATGTTGCGCATGTTTCTTCTATCGATCGACATGCCGATGCTCTCACTAAGCCCTCGCCATGTACTAGGTTTCTTTCTACTCATGACAAGATTGGACTCTTCCCAAATAGCTCCATCTTGAGGAGGGATGTTAGAAATATGCGTTGATATTAAGCCACGATTATAGGAGATTGTACACTATGTGTTTCCTTCTCCGTATAAACTTTTATGTATAGAAGATTTAATGTCCCGAATGACCTTGATTATAGGAGAGATTGTCTCCTACAATGTATGTATATATATTGTCAAAATTGTCAATAATATGATAGTAATTTCAAACATATTCTCTATTTATTCTTTCGAGTATGGACTAATCTTTAAATTTCATTTAAACTAACATTGAGTTTTATTCAATTTCTAAAATTGTCGAAATCCATGTCAATAGATTCGTAATGACAAATGGAGTTTATTAATAGTGTTTATGAGTCTTGACATGATGAGTAAAATTAGACAAGAATGTGAAAAAAAATGAATGAATTATTTAATTAACTTTTTTTGACTAATTTTAGTTGGTTAAAATGAATTTTATGGTTATAGATGGGTCATTAAGAGTTGTGAAAAATAACAAACGAATGAGTTTTTAAAGTCAGAACTGACGACCCTCGGTTATTTAATGACCCAGCGGTAAATTTTCAAATTCCAATTACCGAAAAATTGAGAAAAAATGTGAATTGGACGACGTGCCGTTCCCTTGCTCTTTAATTACATTATATCTTATATGAATAGCAAGACGGTAGTGTGAGGCGTAGGCACAAGGGGGCCTAGGCCCAGCGTACATGCTATACCCAAACCCCACCCCCCACCACCCACCCCCTCTCGTTTTTTCTCCCTTTTCAAATGATAGGGGATAATTGAAATAATCATCGGTAAAAAAACAAAATGTCGACAGCCAAGAAACAGAATGATGCCAAATCAACAATATCCCCGGGCAATGGCATCGTCCATACATGATCGGTGGAGCAGCTATATGTTACAAGAGTTGCCAAAATCCGAAATCTTCCATGCAAGCATATAGGTCAATTGGTGTGGATTAAAAATATTGCAGTGATCCTAAAAATCTGTACATCATTTATTTACTATTGTTTATTAAACATTGCAACTGATAATTTAGCAAAAATATTTTTGAATTGTGATTATAAGGCTTTACCTGCAAAATAATTGGAATTCTTTGCGATTATTTAGAAAGTATAAAGTATAAAATAATAGCTTGGTTTGTTTAATAATGATAACTCAAAATGTAATAGTGTTCCAATGGATTTATGAATGCTACGTACGCAAAAAGAATATTAAGGTTAAACTACAAATAATAACAATAATAATATTAATATTAATATCAATTGAAAGCTTGAGAAACACTTAATTTCAATAGAAAAAGGAACAAAATTTCTTGCAACAAAGTTATTGGGCGATCAAAAAAAAAAAAAAGTAAAATATTATTTGATTCCTGCGGTTTTTTAATAAAATAATTAGCTAATCTCTATATTTTAATAAATTTAATAATAATTCTCTTATGTTTTTCTGTTTGAATGTAACTTGATTGTTTTTCATCGCAATTAATTTTTTTTTATATAAAATATCCTTCATTTGTAATTAAAATTTTCAATTTTGCCTGCTACATGCAAAATTAAAATTGCATTTAAAATGAGAAATTTATAAATATAAACAAAAAATTAGTCAATTTTGGTCATAACAAAACTTATGCTTTTCAAAAATCGAGGGATTAAATTATAAAACAATAAAAAAACACAAGGATTAACTTTAGAAACACTGAATTTAAATAATAGGCCACCTAATATAGTAGAAATTTGCACAGAGAAGCCAGATTATCATACCTGCCAAAAAAAAAAAAAAATTATTGGTTCTCCAGTCCATATGCTAGTAGGATAAACAAACTACATAGAATGAACCTTAATTTTTCTTCTCTCTTTCAAATTATCTGGTACATAAAAATCTTATTGAGATCATTTCTCGCAACAGATAGGCAGTTGCGGTAAAAAAAAAAAAAAAAAAAAAAAAAAAAAAAAAATTCTAACCTGTACTTTCCGTTTTATAAATGTAGGATCTAGCAAAATGCAAGTAGGCAATGAATCCCACTGCACTAAGACCGGCAAGTAGCCAATAGAAATAATCAAGGTGTGCCTTGTTGAGATTGTTTGCAAACCAGCTCTGTTTATCATCTCCACCCGTTGCTTCATTAATTATAGTGATAAGAAAGCTACTTAAAAAGCTTCCTGCTCCTAGGATACTAAGGTAGAGTGAGACACCAACACTCCTTAGTTCCTTTGGGACCTGATCATAGAAAAATTCTTGGAGTCCAACAATGGTGAGCACATCAGCAACACCGCAGAGAATATACTGAGGAACCAACCACCAAATGCTCATTGGAACCGTCACATTAGGAAGATCAACCAGCCCATGCTCTTTAGCAGTTTCAAGTCTTTTCATTTCAACTAGAGCTGCAGTTGCCATGGAAATTGCAGAGAAAACCATTCCTGTTCCCATTCTTTCAAGCATTGTAATGCCAGAAGGTTTCTGGGTTAGACCTCGCGCTATAGGCACAATAATGCGGTCGTATACTGGAATAAAGATAATGATGGCAAACCCAATGAAGGTTTGAAGCGAAGCAGCTGGAACTTTGAAGCTTGAGACAATTGTTCTGTCCATTGTAGCTCCTTGCTTTGTGAATAAAGTTGTGGTTTGTGCAAACACAATTGCATATGCCAAACTTGTGATCCATATTGGAACTAGTTTCAACAACGCTTTTGTGTCTTCCACATCTTTGACACTGCACCCCTTCTGATCTTCTAATGAACCATCTCGTGCAACCAACGCTTTGTTGAGGAACCTTCCACAATAGAAGCTGTTGCGTTAGAATTTCATAGAGCCTTTAATCTAGGTAAATATAGAAGAGTTGTTTTGGTTAAGAAACTTTCTATGAACCACAAAATCAGTAAAGAAATTTTCTTCCGAAAATTTTCATTAGTGAAAAAGCTTCCTTTTTCCTGAAGATATGTCTCCTTCATTTTGTTTCAATTCCTAAAACAAGAAATAAAGTTACTTATCTTACTTGAATTGCTCTGAACTTTGATGCCACTGGCTAGCATCATCTTCACCAGGTATAACTGGAGGAGGAGTAGTCTTCCTGTTCCTAATTGCTCTAGCAATCACCCGACAAATTCTCATAAATGGATTTTTCTCATTCCTATTAACACTATACCTGTAAGTTCTGCTTCCAAGCAAGAAAACAAGCAGGGCAGCTACCATCACAATACAAGGGATTCCAAATCCAAGGGCCCAACTAAGGTTATCTTGGATGTAGACTAATACCACAAGTGTTACGATAGTGCCCAGTGCTATGCCAAAATACCACCAATTGAAAAATGAGCTTTTAGCTTTAATCTCGTTTGGATCTTGTTCATCAAATTGATCAGCCCCAAATGCCTGAACGCAGGGCTTGTGCCCACCCTGGCCAACTGCTACTAGATATATAGAGAAGAAGAACAATATTACTTGAAACTGAGGAGGAGAACACTTTGAGACATTTTTGGTGTTTTGACAGCCATGGACATTAACGGATGGTAGAACGGCTGCTAATGTCAACATTCCTAGTCCCTGTGAATCATCCAATGCAGGTGGAAGATGATTAGTATTGAAACATGATAGTTATAATGCGACAATAAAATGAACATTTCCTGCCTTTGTTCCAATTCCAGGGAGGGACTTGCAAACAAAATGTCAAAGTTTGAGTACTCAGAATGCCATTAAAGGTTACTGCATTGGAAAAGAGCAATTTGGTCCATTAGGCCCTTTGTCAAGAGTTGTATAAGCAATAGCCTAATTGTTTAGCAGCAATTATTTCATCTTTAGCAGCCACTCTATGCCACACGCCGTTATAATTTTACATGCACTTGGCATTCATAAGGTTGGATTCCATGTCAGTGAAAATTAAGCCTCTTTTACACAGTTGGATAAAAACATTAATTATAGATTTCTTTTATTTTTATTTTTCTAAAATACCCTTCCAGACAATTATAACATGTACCTTTACCATTTTCCGACGTATTCAATCAAATTATTTATTTGACTATGGATATTAGAAATGGTCAAACATACATAAACTATGTAACTAAAAATATTAACATGTGAGACACGAGATAGATGCGATGCCACGGTAAGCAATACGTTTTCTTTTCTTTTTTTTTTTCAATTTTGGTTTAGCAATAAGACTGTTCTCGAGCTAATTTTCGAACATCTAAACATCAATATATATATATATTTTAATATGATTAAAGAATACTTTCTAATACATAATTTTAAATATTTTAAAAATATTGATTATAAAAATCAAATTATAGACTTAATCTATAAGACAACATTTCTTAGCAGGGACCACTACCTTGTGGTTAAGAAACATGTTTTTAAATGTGAAGAACCTAGCTGGCTAGCTATAAATAAACTTGCAATTGAGGACTGAACCTGCAGAAAATCTTAATAATGGGACCACAGGATCTGATGCTTGCAATAAGATACTCTGCTACCACCATTCAAGCAAGTTAAATCGTTTATTAAATCTCCAGTCTTCTTTTGTTATTTTACTTCTTTTGGGGAAAATTAATATCTTCCCAGCCTAGACCAACTCGTCCTCACGACTCCATTAAATTGTCTTTCTGTGGCATGAGTGAGATCCACATGGTTTGATATGCCTTAGGCGTGATTAGGTGAATGTGGTTTATCATTTAAGACAATAGATTATATATCATCATGAGAGCAAATAACCTCTCGGTAACTAATAGAAAAATAAAAATATTTTAACCACTCACTGATTGATACGAATTAATTTCTAATTCCTGATCACTGGAAAGCATAAACGTAGATTTCACAGACACGACCATTCAAGTTCTAATGTCCTGATGAATTAAAAAAGAAAAAGAAAAACAATCACTAAGGGTGAAAAACATTGGAGGATCAGAGACAGGAGACTAACCAAGGCGTAGATGAGAGAAGCAACAATAATAGTCCGGTAACGGCCAAGAAAAGAATCAGCAACAAAAGCTCCCAAAAGGGGCAGCAACGTGGCTGTGCCAGACCATGTATTAACATTGGCAGCAGCACTGGCCGTCGACTGACCAAGAGGACCCGTCAAATACATGATAAGGTTCGAAGAGATCCCATAATATGCAAACCTCTCCGCCACTTCCACAGCTTAATTTGTACCCATACACACAAAAACTACAAAATTCAATTACCAAGTAGGTGTATGAATCAATTCTTGAGTTGGGTCATCAAGAAAGTATATTGTACAAGTACCTATAATGAAAGAAGCTGATCTCCAGCTACCAGAAGTTGATCGGTGAACTGGGTTGCCTTTGTAGTCAACGGAGCCATTAACAATGTCTTCTACCGCTTCCATTAGAGGAGTAGCACTACTGCTGCTTTCGGTGCCCGATGACATATTTGAAAGATGAGATATAGTCATTGGCAGCTTGTCATTAGGTAGCTGCTTATCCACGCAAAATGATAACTATTCGCCTAATACAAACTTGAAAATTGACACCCTTTTTCTACCTCTGTTTCCGAGTTTCCACAAGATGCAATTTTTTTTCCCGTGTTATATTTAGCCTTGTCTGTGTTATTTATATCTGCTCTCTTTGTTCCGTAACTCTTTGTCTTTTTCCGAAAGCCCCTTTCTAGAGCCCTTTTCAGTTTCCTGTTTTGCCCTCTGTGTATGTGTCGAGAAACCTTTGCTTAAAGTGATACACATTTAACAATTTAGCCACGATGTGACCTTTAGGCCCACCCCACGTTTTATTAACAAAATCTTTATAAATTCTAACGAGGTGTTAATGGCAATGGGGCCATAGCTCTGCCACGTCCCCACCCCCGTGTTCTGTACCGAGCAATATTTCATCTTTTATCTCCGTCTTCGACGGAGATTGAAACCCTTGCGAAGTATCTCACTTAATTCTTTTTTATCTATTTTATTTTATTCTACTTTATATCATCTTATATTAAATTTTAAATTATAATAAAAATATAATAATTTATATAAAAAATATAATTAAAAAATAATCATTTAGCATTATATTCAAATACAAATTTATAACACAACTAATAATATATTAAATTATTTTCAATCAAATAAATAACATCTTTAATTAAGTTAATGAAATATCACAACTGTCAATATTATAAATACAATTAAAAAATGATAATTCTTACATGTTTTTACTGTTTATAGATCATCATAGCTCACTTATTATATCAAGGCTAGTTTATAATCTAAGAGTTTATATATATGTTAGATATAATTATAATTTAAAAAAAAAAGAAAATGAAACAGGATGGGCAAATACCATCCTCATTCAAAGTGAATACGATAGTGCCCCACCCTATTTCCTAATCAACTCAGGAAATTCTCGCATCAATTGAGGCAAGACAAATTGCCATCCCTAGAGGTGGACTGGTGGAAAAGGAAGAAAATTTTGTTTTATTTCTTGATTACATAATTAGTATATTTTTTAAAAAATTGATATACCTAGAAAAAAAAAAAAAACATATACAAATAAGAAACACGCGACAAATTGTGTCTCTCTTTTGTAGAAGGCGTAAAAAATGTCATTGGAAGGGTTTGAAAATAAAGACAATTCTCGAATAAACTTCAAAAGGCATGCATTTAATAAAAACACGTTTCATAAGATCAAAATATGCCGGTTAACTGGGTTACTATGAAGCAAACCAGAGAAATTGAGAGCCTTCACCAGTTTAGCCAATTTCTCTCCTAATTGCTTAGGCTCTAAGAGAACAAGAAGAGATATCTGATGGTGAGCAACTAGATGTTTCAGATATCTCCTTTTATCTGAAGCACAAATGCTTCTAATATATTCTAAATGAGACTAATCATTAGGATGGGCAAAAAAAGGCTCGCTGTTGTGGTCTCGCTCAGACCTTGTTACGCACTTGTTACTAAGTTGCACCAGACTCTTCAACAATTTCTTTTTTATTTTTTTTGGATAGCATTTTCCCCTAGAACTCCATAGCCTATATTTGGTCTCGGAAGGCCTGTGATACCCACCATTGCATCTCCACAGCTCCTTCTGAAACCGCATGAGGAAATACATCAGCATCCAACTACGAGGTTATCGTCGCATGTTACATGTTATCAAATTAAAATAAGTATGTTAGTTAAACCCATAGCGAAGCACGGGTTACAGACTAGTGTTTTATAGTACACCTATCCTATCCAAACATGCATGTTTATTTACCCATCGATATTGATTAGAAAGAATTAAAATAAATAAATAAATAAATAAAGAAGAAGCAAATCATTGTTAGTTGAAAAAAAAAATCATTTTAGAAAATATGTATATAATATATTCAATATTCTCCATGCATAGTTAATTTAAATTTTAAATTGCTATTAATTATTTAAATAAATATTATGTATTGCTTGATTTCCAAATTTTATTAGTTAAGGCCTTCTCCCCTACTTTGTAGGTTTATATCCCAAATTCCTAATTTCCTTAATTAAACTTTGATCCTATTCATAAAAAAAAAAAAAAAGAAGAAGAAAAAGAAAAAGTAAAGGGCTTAAAACAAAATGAGGGGAAAGGACACATATTTCAACGCTTATACTATCATAAGTTTTTGATAAAACACGAGTTTTAATACCTGAACTTTCACAAAATTGACAATCAAGTTTTCATATTTTATTTTTCAAATTTAAAAAATAAAATTTAAAATATATATATATATATATCGCCATGTTGCTTGAAAAGTATCAATAACAACGTTCGATCTTCTATATTTTTGCCTAAAATTTTTATATATATAAAAAAAAAGAAAAAAAACCAAGGTGCAGGCTCGTGCACCTGGGCTATGCAAGTTAGGATACAAAATATATATATATGGTTTTTTTTTTTTTTAATTTTTGGCGATCTTTACAATTTTTGATGAATCTGATTTTGTCAAAAAATAGAGTTTTTTAATTTTCAGGCTCTCAAAACTAAATTCAACTCCAAAATCACATAAATAACAAAATAAACTTGTTTAAAATCTCAAAATCTATTTTGATGCACACAAAATATATAAAAATTCAAATCAAAATAAAAAAATTAAAATATTTTCTCATTTCGATTTACTTCCTCTAATCATTTTATGATTTGTGATCACCACAAACAGATTTTACTTTTCGAGTCGAACAAATTAACGAGTAAGTTTGACCATTAATGTAACCGGAGTGAGCCTCGGTCCCTATCTCTCTCCTCTCCCTTCTGTCTTTCTCGTTTCTCTCTCCTCTTATGATGTATGGATTAAAATGAAAGAAAAATAAAGTTCTAAATGGAAAAAAAAAATTGAAAAAGAAGAACCAAAGTGTAATTTTTTTCTTATAAACATTGGAAAACCATAATGCAACTAGGTGATTGTCCACGATGATCATGAGTGATACGTTATAGAAATCTATCGTGTTTTCTCAAATCTTTTTAGTATTTTTAGTAATATTGCTTGCATTTAATAAAAATTTGGCTATTAATCGATTAATAAAACACACAAAAAAAAAAAAACTAAAAACATTGTGTTTTATTCTTGTTCTACTGTAATTTCAAATTCATTTACGCTATTCATAAAATATTATTTTATATTATTTATCATTGCTAAAAAAGATATTGTTTAGCATGTTCTTAGCTTGAAAATTTCTTAAAAAATTTAAGTGATTTTTTAAAAATTATTTTGCTTTAATCCTTGGCTTTTGAGGTTTGTATGAACTAGCTTTTGAAACTTCATTTAGGCTACGTTTGTTTGGGGGAAAACAAGTTTTTGGAACTTGTTTTTCCCATTTTTCGATGTTTGTTTCACATTCGAAAAAAAAGTTAATGAAAAATGATTTCTAGTCAACGAGAAAATGATAGTAATTTTGAGAAAATGTTTTACCGAGTTTCAAAAGAGGAAAAAAATTTTCTTCTCACGAGTCGTCTCGCTCTATCTTTACATAACTCTCTTTCGATATATTTTAAAATTTTTTTCTCTATCTTCTTTTTATTTAAAATATATTATATTAATTTTTAATTATATCTTATCAATTATTATTAATTATTTAATTATTTTTTCTCGATCTTTACTAATATTTGATTTTTTGATTTATAGATACATTAAATATTCTTAAAAACCATTTTTACACCTTAAAATTATTTTTATAATAAATATTTTAATAACTTATCTCTTTTTTTACTATTTTCTCAATCACTATCTAAGCTATAATTAAATGATTGAAAATGATTATTACAAGACTATAATTTTTTATAAAAAGAAATTAAAATTAATTAATTCATCAATAAATACATTATTTTTTTCAACACTATTCATTTGCAATTAAATCAATAATTTATAATTTTAATCAATTGTAAAATTTTGTTGGTAATTGTAATGAATAATTAGTTACAAATTACTCTAACATTAATCTTTTGAGATCAAATAAATAATTATCTATAGATGATAACAAATAATTTATCAAATTATTTTTTAGACTAAATTATCAGTTCAATTTCTTAAAAAAAAAAAAAAATCTTAATTGAGTTACTAAAATAATAATGCTAAGATTACTTAGAATCTTTTTTTTACCTAATATGAATGTTGACTTAATTTTGTCCCAAGTAATTTTGATGATTTGGTTTGATTGTTAAAAAATTACATTTTATTTTTTGAATTAAAATTTTAGAGTTAGTATTGATGAAAATTTATTAAATTTTTCTAAATGTATCTTATATTATGAAATTATGAATGTCTTTTTAAAATTTTTTTAAAACTTGTTGATATAACAATCACATAAGTTTTTGTATTTTAATTTTACGTATCAAACAAATGTTGGAATATATTTTTCGAGTAGCTTTTTCATATAATTGCCAAACAGCGAGAAAATATTTTCTTGAAAAATAATTTTCAGAAAAATAACTTTCTCGAGAATTGATTTTCCTATAGAGCTTGTTTTCTCCCAAACAAACGGAGCCTTAAACCAACATTGAGTTTTATTCATGTCTATAAAATTATCGAAATCCATATCAATAGATTCATCATGACAAATGAAGTTTATTAATATTGTTTATGAGTCTTGACATGATGGGTAAAAGTAGACCGGCGAAAAAATGAATGAATTTTTTTAATTTAATTTTATTTTTTTGACTAATTTTAGTTGGTTAAAATGAATTTTACGGAGAGTTTCTAGAATGATATCAAGATATTTGATGTGAAAAATAACAAACGAATGAGTTTTTAGAGTCAAAACCGACGACCCTCGATTATTTGATGACCTAGCAATAAATTTTCATATTCCAATTACCCAAAAATTTAGAAAAAATATGAAATGGACGACGTGCCGTTCCCTTGCTCTTTAATTATCCTATATTTTATATTACTAGCAAGGCTGTAGCGTGAGGCCTAGTGTTACGCTCCGCCTAAAAG